CCTCACAAAAAAGATTTTCTGGATCAGTATTATAGTAAGTATGATGGGAAGTACTTTGAAAACGGTTCAAAGCCGCTAAGAATATGAAACCAAATGTGCCCTTTCGTAGAAAATCACATCCTGTCCAGGAGATATAATACCAGATTTGAGCTTGGTCTCGAGTTATTCAATTGGAGCTAAAGGTATGAATCCTTTAATTCCACAATTTGAATCGAAGCTCTTCTCACCCTCACATGATTTAAATTTTCAGTAAACTCAAAACTTTACTCTGTTTTCTATTTTCTGTTATCATGGTCAGGTGTATTGAGTAACGATCCTACGAGCCATATTAAATTTTTTTAAGACGAATACTTGTTCAACCAGTTCAAAGTGGCAGTGGGACTGCAATATATATATGTCAATAGTTGAATTTCTGACCACTATAGATAAGCTAGTGCAGTCGATCAATGATAAAAACCAAGAGCTTGAAGATTTAAAGAAGACGTACAACTCTAAATTGGAAATCATTAATAAGTATGTTAAAAAACTCCAAGAACTTCACGGAGAACTTGATGTCGATCCTCTGTCGAAATTAACGCACAAACAGTTTATTAGGAATTTAGAAAATTCAGTTCTTTGTCCCAATTGCGACGAAAAAGTTTGGTCGTTAGACGCCGATTCAGATTATATTTTATTTCCTAAGACACAACTTATGCATCTACTTCCAGAATTCCCAGAAGGAAACTGTGCTGAGGATATTCAAGCCCCAGTAATAGAGAAGTCTAAACCTGAGCAAAACATTCAGATCTATCACAATACACAACGAAACATAGAGAAGAACACTTACAGATCAGCTAATTTGACAACACCCAAGAAGACCTGCTCCTATTGCAAGAAGCCTGGCCACTCCCGATCAAAATGCTTTATTCGATTATCGAAACCTACAAAGTGAGAATGATCCTCTTGTGTGAGAATAGAAAACATCTCCAAATCGTATTCAGTTCTTTATATTACATTTTATATCATTTTAGCTAATTATCAACTGCTATTTCGTCGACTGGAACATGGCCTCTATTTTAGGAGTTAGTAAACTTCGTTTCATCAAAATTAAAAGATAAACGTACCTCTTCTAGATGCATCTTGCAATAGGGTGCAATCTACCAGACTGGGATTCATGTGAACGTAGCGCACAGTCGACCCTCTGATAAATAAATTCTTGACTGCCTTCAAATGTGGATACTTCGTTTCATTCGTACACGAAATGTTGTCTAATTTTAAATTTAGATATTGGTCCACTGATTTCAAAATACCTTTAATTTCTATGTCATTCTTTAATTCCACTGTAATCTCTTGATCAACTAGAGTTTTGAAAAAACTAAAAAAAAGCATTTGAACTTATGATTACCAAATTGTGCTATTTTACAACCCGCCAATCTAGTATCTGTTTGTCTTGCTTCTCAAGTTGAATAAACTTCAAAAAACTTTTGATTATGTAATCACTTTAAAAAATGTAAAGTAGTGAAGCGCTAAACAATATATTCGCTAACATAATCTAAATGATTAGAGTATTCACCTCTTAATTCTGTGTCCAGATTTAAATCCTGTTGAATACCAAAGAAGGAAGAGCTACCATTATCAGAATTGTGGGGCAATTTTTCTTGTTTATACTTTCCATTTGACTTCTTTCTCTTGGAATGAGTACTTTTTGACTTTGACTTCTTGGCTCGTTTGACAAGCACAGCAGGCTCCATGAAGTCGACTAAGCTGTAGTCGCTGTGAAGTGAAAATTGGTTCAAAGGGGAGTCGACGCTCAACTGAAGAGGCTCATCTTCCGCCACAAAGTGGATGTAGTTTTCAAAGTTCGATTCTCTGTCATCACTATCATTGAAACTTCTAGGTGTTCTCTCGCTTCGATCATTTAGTGATGCGGAGCGTGTTGAGCTTTCTTGTGGTACATGATGTAAAGCAAAATTGACCCCTGATAGTCGATCGCGATCTGTAGATTCTTTCACAACTTTCAGTTTGCTGCCCTTTTTTCTCCCTCTTTTTTTAGGTTGTCTCAATAGCTCAGCATTATTAAAGCAAGGCGTATCGCCATGACCCGAGTATGATCGATTTAATCTTTTTTCTATTGCGGGAGCTATATTGCCAGCACTTGAGATGTTATCATTAATAATGTCATCATTTTCGTCATCTTCATGTACATATTTCGGATTCTCGTTACCATAGTTTTTATTAGACAGAAATTTGAAAATAGGGTCTATTTTTTGTTTTTCAAGGACATTCCTTGCATTCATTTTAGCTATTTGGTAGTTCGATGGTGATCGGCCCCTTACAATCAATGGTGGAGTCTCTGTTGAAGCTAAAATAGTATAGTTCCCATCACTGAGTAACCCTAGTAATTCGACTTGTAATGTGAAATGTCTATTTACCATTGTTGGCTTTCTATAGTTGATAGATGTGGAAAATTGAATTCTTTCATATCTTGCTACGGTTGCAATTTTCCCCGGAGGATATGTATGCAAAATCGATTTATCCGATGTTTTCCAAATTTCGGCATTATCAAGAAAAAATAGTTTGTTAAATTGATCAATTTTACTCTCATTTCTAATATTTGCAGCTTGTTTAATAACCTGATGGCTGGGTAGAACCCCAGTTACTGCAGGATATACAGGAGGCTTAAATTGAGGGCCACGATCTCTTTTAGCTGTATGCTGTACTAGATTGATCTGCATATCATCTTCGCAGCATTTGGAGACCAAACGTAATGCAAAACAGTTGATGCTAACTTTTTGATTACCGGCGTCAATTGTATAGAATTTTTCGTTTGAGAAAATGCTATTGTCTTGGTCTTCAAACTCAAAAGCAGCTACCAATGTGAAATAATTTCTCTTATAGCCAATCCATTCGCCATTGATGAAATCAAAACCACGGTCAATCCTTGCGTTCACAAAAGGAAAGACATTCTCATCTGTCAGCATAAGGTAAATTGGCTTAAATAAAGTCGTAGTTTCAAAAGATGGCCCGACTTTGAACTGTAAACCAGATCTTGGTGCAACCTTTTTCTTATCTGTGCCGTCTAATCTGTCAGACATTTCATTGCTAACGGGGTCACTAGCGATGACGCTAGGAAAAAGATCGCCTCTGGTGTGTTTTAGTTCCGTCGAGTTTTCACTATCACTATATCTAGAGCTAAACTTCGGCTCATCATCTTTTAACAAATAATCGGAATTATCTTGCAGATCTTGAGATCTCGAACCTGAATCCCAATTGTAAGAATTCTCACCTGATTTCTCTTTACTTTTCTTGTTTTTTGCCATTGTGTCCAAAGGGGTTATCATTGAGTTCAATGGAAATATCATCGAACTCAGGAGGTACTTTTGTAAAAAGAATATTTGTTTCGTAAGTTGAATTAGCCGCTATAGTCGAAATCTAAACTTGAATTTTGCAGTACACAAACACATTTGTTCGCACCCGCATAGTTTGAGAAAGAACTGATAAAAATATGAACCCACACTAACAGTAAAGTTTCCTATCACTGAGGCAAAGTGACCCTAGCTATATCCACTTACATACTCAATTGACTCCCCAAAGTACACATCTTGCTCTCTAACGTCTTAAAATTAAGATGATCTTCGATTGTGTAACACACGACTCATCACCAGCTGGGGTTTAATTTTTTTTTTTTTCACTTTTAGACTAAAATGACTTCTTGTACCGTTATTACAAAAGGATCGCTCAACAAACAAATCATGGGAAAAAAAGCCATCGATTCACGTATACCTTCACTTATTAGGAATGGTGTCCAAGAGAATCAGCGAAGCTTCTTTTTTATTGTAGGCGACAAAGCCCGCAATCAGTTGCCAAATTTGCATTATTTGATGATGTCTGCAGACTTGAAGATGAACAAATCTGTTTTATGGGCCTATAAAAAGAAGCTTGCAGGTTTCACATCACATAGGAAGAAGAGAGAGACAAAGATAAAGAAGGATATCAAGAGGGGTATTAGAGAAGTGAATGACCAAGACCCTTTCGAAGCATTCATTTCAAACCAAAATATTAGGTATGTTTATTACAAGGAGACCGAAAAAATTTTAGGTAACACCTATGGAATGTGTATCTTACAAGACTTCGAGGCGATTACACCAAACCTACTTGCCAGGACAATAGAAACAGTAGAAGGGGGCGGTTTAGTTGTAATTTTATTGAAGTCAATGACCTCTTTGAAACAGCTTTATACAATGAGTATGGACATTCATTCCAGATATAGAACTGAAGCTCATAATGACGTAGTTGCAAGATTCAATGAAAGATTCTTGCTTTCGTTGGGATCTTGTGAAACATGTTTAGTGGTAGATGATGAGCTAAATGTTTTGCCTATATCTGGTGGAAAGCATGTCAAACCTTTGCCAGCAGCAGATGACGACGTAATGAGCTCGAAAGAACGCGAGTTAAGAGAATTAAAGGAAAGTTTGGTTGATGTTCAGCCTGCTGGCTCATTGGTAGACTTATCTAAGACTGTGAATCAGGCTCAAGCAATTTTAACATTCATAGATGTGATTTCAGAAAAGAGTCTCAGAAATACTGTTACGCTCACTGCCGGTAGGGGTCGTGGTAAGTCAGCTGCATTAGGGGTGGCTGTTGCTGCTGCTATATCCCACGGCTATTCCAATATTTTCGTAACTTCACCTTCTCCTGAAAACTTGAAAACTTTGTTTGAATTTATTTTCAAAGGTTTTGATGCTTTAGGATATACAGACCATTTGGACTATGATATTATTCAGTCTATGAATCCATCATTTAATAAAGCCATTGTTAGGGTTGATGTTAAAAGAGACCACCGCCAAACAATTCAGTATATCTCTCCAAATGATAATCATGTCCTTGGTCAGGCGGAATTACTTATAATTGACGAAGCTGCGGCTATTCCCTTGCCCATAGTCAAGAAATTAATGGGACCTTATCTTGTATTTATGGCCTCAACTATTAATGGGTATGAAGGAACAGGTAGATCTTTGTCAATTAAATTGATACAGCAATTACGTGATCAATCAACCATAAATAGCAGCAATGATACAAGTATTGTTTCCAGAGATAACAAATATACAGAATCTCTGATGATGAACAGGACTTTAAGGGAGGTTGTTTTAGATGAACCAATTAGATATAGCCCCGGAGATCCAGTCGAAAGGTGGCTCAATAAGTTACTATGCTTAGACGTATCATTATCTAAGAATTCAAAATTTGCAACCAAAGGTTGTCCTCACCCATCGCAATGTAATTTATTTTACATTAATAGGGATACTTTGTTCTCCTACCATCCTGTTTCGGAAGCTTTTTTACAAAAAATGATGGCCCTTTATGTAGCATCTCACTACAAAAACTCCCCGAATGATCTTCAGTTAATGAGCGATGCTCCAGCACATCAACTTTTTGTCTTGTTACCACCAATTGAGGAGAACGACAATAGGATACCTGATCCTCTTTGTGTCGTTCAGATAGCACTAGAAGGTGAAATATCAAAAGACAGCGTAAGAAAATCACTTTCCCGTGGACAAAGAGCTGGCGGTGATCTAATCCCATGGCTAGTGTCTCAGCAGTTCCAAGACGAAGATTTTGCGTCATTATCTGGTGCAAGAGTAGTGAGAATAGCTACTAACCCGGAGTATAGTGGTATGGGCTATGGTTCCAGAGCAATTGAACTTTTGAAAGATTATTATCAAGGAAAGTTTACTGATATGAGCGAGTCAGCAAGCACGAAAGACTTTGAGTTGACCAGAATTACAGATGAGGAACTAGCTAAAGCATCGTTAAAAGACGAAATTAATTTGAGAGATGCTAGGACGTTACCACCGCTTCTTTTGAAACTATCCGAGAAAGCTCCTTATTTCTTACACTACTTGGGTGTCTCCTACGGATTCACTTCTCAGTTGCATAAATTTTGGAAGAGATCTGGATTCACACCAGTATACCTCAGACAAACACCAAACGAATTGACAGGGGAACACACTGCAGTGATTTTGCATGTCTTATCAGACCGTGATGATACCTGGTTAAAAGAATTTGCTGGTGACTTCCATAGAAGATTCCTTCTGTTATTGTCATACGAATTTAGAAAGTTCACAACCATTCAGGCTTTAAACATTATCGAGTCAATTGGATTTGAAGAGGATTCTAATGTGAAATTTGAAAGAGCTGATTTGGATCAAATATTAACCCCATTTGACTTAAAAAGGTTGGACTCTTATGCTAATAATCTCTTAGATTATCACGTCATTCTTGACATGATCCCTATTCTTTCTCAATTGTATTTTACCAAAAAGATGGGTAGTGGAATAAATCTATCATCAGTGCAATCGGCCATCTTATTAGGAATTGGACTACAACACAAAAATATTGAGCAAGTTTCTTCTGAGCTCAACTTGCAGCAAAACCAAACGATGGCAATGTTCTCTAAAATTGTCCGCAAGTTTTCTGGATTTTTTAAAGAGATATTGAGTGATTCAATCGGAGAATCAATTTCTATAGTGGACGAGAATCGTGTTGAGAATGACATACTTGACATTGAAGCTGCGAATGACGAATTGCAGCAAGATTTGGAAGAAGCAGGTGATGATGCTTTGTCAGAATTGAAGTTGAAACAAAAGGAGCTTATAAATGCAATCAATTTGGATAAGTATGCAATCGCTGACGATGCAGAATGGGAGTCTGCAGAGAAAACTGCTGCAAGAGCCGCATCTGGACAGGGTATTGTTAGCGTTAAAAACAAGAACGTGAAAAGAAAGAAGGGAGAAAGTGCGTCGGAGATTTATGAGAAGGAAATGAAGCTGGCGTCAAAAAAGTCTAAGAAGTCTAAGCGTTGAATTATATAAGTCTATGCGGTAGAATAGAGAGAATAACTATTTTAAAGCTGAGCATTTAAACGATATGATGAGTTATTTGCTGTAACGACCACTCCACAAGATCGCGGAGACTTGTTCCAACATCATTCTTGTAGCTACATATAGTAAGATCAGTCCTTGCATAGTCATTTAAATCGCAATTTACATCTTCATTTTCGAATAGGTACTTATGGTTCTTCACAAATTCTGGCCATACGATATCAGTAAAGTAGTTTGGTGGATCAACCCAGAAGCCTGCCACAGTGTTATAGCCTTGCCTTGATTCTCTCCGTCTTTTAAGTGTTTCAAAACTACCATAAAAGAATAGTTTGACATCAAATAGCTTGCATATAGAGGGATCATGATAGAGCATAAAACCGTCGACCAATACAACTACTGTATCCTCAATCCCAGGAATTTCCTTTATTTGATCATCTATAATTTTACTTTCTTCCTTACTTAGCTTGAGTTCAGAGTCAATCTCTAACGATTCTATCTTGTTGTCGAATTTCTGGCTCTTCTTGATATCAGTAATGTATCTGACGAATTTCTCAAAATCAATTGCTCCTGGGCAATCCCAATTCTTTATATTCTTCTCATGGTCGACAGGAATCTTGTCATCTGGAAAGTAAAAGTCATCCTCGTGCACTATTATTGATCTCGGTAGCAATTCATATAACGCCTTTGCACATGTAGTCTTTCCTGATGACGAGGGCCCTCCAAGAGCAACCAAGAGAATTTGCTTGTAGGCTTTAAGAACCATGAGAAAACATGCATCGAGAACCTAGTTGAGAAATCATGTACGACTATTTTGAAATAATGCGAGGGATACTTTTCGTAACAATAGCGCTCTGTCGGGTAAATTGTGTGGAACAAGACCTAGAGCACAACCCAACATAATAACCCCAGCTCTTGAAAGTTAGATAGAGGAGAGGGAGCCGACCCAAACTTTGACCTTTCCTTTCCTTATTTGAGCTTCTGGTTTACTTAAGGACCAACTTAGGTAGCACAAATTTCTAGTCATCCACTTTGGGATAGGGAACGTAAAACTTTTCTCCCATCCTCCATTTCTATTTTATCTCTATAACGTCCGATCATTTCAAGGATTACATTTCCCACTATGGCTACATGTCATTACCGTTAAAGCCATAAATAGAATCGTACTGCTTATTCCCACATTATAATACTTAGGTTCTTAACAGCAATTATAATGGGGCATTCATATGGCTAGTTTATTAAACAACCTTTTTACAGCTATTTCTTACCTACGAAGCTATTAAATACTCTATACCGATTATGGAAATAAAAATTGAAACCAGAAGTAATGAGATTCTTTTCATGCAAAGATATGCAACTCAGCGCTGGTTTCGGGGTCGTCTTTCGTTTTTAAGTACACCAGAGCAGATAAACCAAGTAGTGTTAGACATGTTTGTACAGGATTATCGGCATGAAAGTTGTTAACGAAAGTTGAAATCATAGAGTGCTCCGAAACCTATACCGCATATGGTTAAGATTTTGAATTTTTAACGCAACCAGACGGAGTTCGAATTCTATTACATTTCCGAAATAGGAAATAGTATAGGATTGTCAGTGCACACATAGATTAAGACGTTCTTAGAGTAAAAGGTATATGAATATCCAAAACCACCATCCTTTTCAAAAGAGAACTATATATACCTTTGAAGAATCTCTACTGTAAGGATTCCAAGCTATTGGCGAAGAAAAGAGAAAATTTTGTGGTATCTTTCACTCGGAAGCCGCAAAAGATTTTTCTCTTAGTTGCAACTAACTCCGTTTCTACACATACCTATAAACGGATTAATAGAAAGTTTGACTTTAATTTTGTTGGCAAAGACTGAGTCATATGAGAGAGGTAGAGAAACTGATTAGACTCAATTGCTGAAATTCACTCTATAGATCTGGGATAAAGTCAAGAAGTTTTATATTTTGGTGTTTCAATTTTTTTATCTGTGTTTCCTTCCCCAACTTATATGATATTAAAACTAAAGTCAAGTTGTTATCGCTAGTGAGTCTAATGAGTGAACTGCTGGCCAAGATTTCGCCTTCATCATCAACAGTGCCAAGTTCTAAGTCATTAGATCGAAAGACATTTCAGCTATCAAGTAGCAGTGCGCCGACTCTGCCAAAGGTTACTCAGTTTGAAAAGAGTAATGAGAAGAGGACGTCACCGTCAAGTAAAAATTTTCTTTCAGACCTCAAGAGCTTCAATATAGATAGATCACAATATAAGCATTACGGTCATCAGTCACTGCTTAATGCGCAAGCAATAGAAAAAATAATACTTAATTCAACTGAAGATGAAGTCAAGTCAACCGCTAAAGATGACCCAAATATAGCATTGGATAGTTCGAGAGCTAATAATAGAATCATAATTGACGAACGTATATCTGAGATCCTTGGAATACCTCCACAAATGGTTGATGAAGAATCCATCTGGCCATATAATACAGAGACTTTGAATGAGATCTTGAAGTTGAAAACAGAACAAGAGAGGACTAGACAGGAAACTATTAGATCGGAATACGGAGCTACTGCCGTTGAACTTTTGAAACTAGCCAGGTCAATGAATATTCATAGTGACTTGGTCCCTTTCCTATTTGTAAGTAATACATCTGTGGAAGATTTGGGTCTAAAAATAGAAAGAATCCAGAGAGACGCCCACGAAGTAATAAATGAAATTACTGCGAAAGCAAGAGAATTGACGCCGCAAATGAAAGCGCACAAGAGAAAGCATTCCGATATTAACTTGCCGTCTTTTTATGAGACTGCGGAAAAGATTAGACCTCCCAGTAGTCAAGCATCTCCCCTGAGGTCACCGATAAAACTGCCACCCATCATTCATCGCAGGGTTATTTCTGATAATAGTGGAGTAACTGAAAAAGAGACGCAAGCCTTGCAAACTGCAAGGCAACAATCACCGATAATTCTGAAACAGCATCTGCCGCAGCAACAAACTCAAACTATGCAAACAAATATGTATCCAATATACTACGCATCTGGCCCTCAAGGTGCAGCATCTGGACAACGGAGTCAGTCTCAGTCAAACGAGGTGACAACCTCTAAATCATTGGGATCACCTTATGCTCAAAAATACAATGCAATGAAATTTCCATTGACCCAAAATACATTTCAGCCTGCTCCTAACTATATCCCACAGTACCCTTACTTTGTTTCGTCTCCACCTAACAACCCTCCGTTTATGATGCAAGGTCAAATTCCTCCAGGTATCGTTCCTGCGGCGCCGATTCATCATTTCCGTTCACCTGACCTGGAAAGGCCCCCCACTTCAGGGGGCTCTGTTAGGGGCCCTGTTTTTGAGCCAGAAGATGCGAGTCCGTATAAGAAGCAAAAATCATCGAGGAATTCAAGTATCAATTTTATGATTACAACTCCTAAGAACCCACCAGCTCGTAAATATAACAACCCCCCAAAAGACAAATCTGGTTGAAATTTATTTCATTTCTTTGTACAGTACAACTCACATATACCCCCTCCCCCAATTCAATAGATAATTCAAATTGCAGTAAGTAATATATCGTGGTAAAATCAAGGTAAAAGATATTGCATGTTAACTTGGTTTTTCTGTTATTTCATTTACGTGCTTCCATAGAATCTCATTCAAAGCACTTTTATTAAATCTTAGTCTTACTTTTCTATTAATTTTTATTTTTTTTTCTTTTTGCAATTGGAAAAACCGTTGAGTTCCGAGAGCAATCACTGTCGCCATAGTTTTGATAAAAAGTCCGAAAACGCTTATAACTTGAGGATTGAGTCTCATGTATTTCATGACTAAATGTCCGAAGAAGTGAAAGATAAGAATAACTATACTGAGCCACGACTAAGAGATCATGAAGAGAAACAAACACCTTTCACTGTATTCACTAGGGGAAGTCGATTTTTACTCATCTCAGTCTTGTGCTTAATAGGATTTTGGAGTACATGTTCAAACCCTATATATTTTCCAGCTTTGCCTACTTTGGAGAAATATTTTCATACAAACCCATCTAGAATGAATATATCAGTACTTTCATATTTGGTACTTCAAGGAATATCACCTTCAATCAGCTCAAACTTAGCTGACAGCTTTGGTAGAAGACCAGTTCTTACTTTTTCTTTAGTCATTTTCATAGTGGCTTGCATTGGTATATCACAGACTAAGGCTTTTTGGCTCTTAATAGTGTTAAGGTGTCTTCAGGCTGCTGGTATAGCCCCCGTAATATCAATATCATCTGGCATCTCAGGAGACGTCTGCACACGAGAAAATCGGGGTGGGTTCATAGGTATCACTTCTGGTTTTCAATTACTAGGTAATGGTTTCGGAGCCATTATTGGAGCTGCATTAATGAATCTGTTCAAGAGCTGGAGATCCATATTTATATTTTTAATGATAGGTGGAATTGTTACATTTGTGATCACGCTTGTGCTACTTCCTGAGACGGGAAGAAATGTTGTCGGAAATGGTTCCATCGAACCCCAAAGCTGGTTTCATAGGCTGCCGATAATATATTTTCCTAAATTTAAAAATCGCTTAAATAATGCTACATCTACTTTGATTCCATCCAGAAAGTTCGATATATTTGCATCCTTTAAAATTTTGTTTCAAATCAAGGTTTTTCTTATTTTGCTTCCTGCCGGGATCCAATTCACAATCTGGACGATGGTGCTAACTTCTATGTCTAACGTTTTGGAGAATAAGTACGGCTATTCTGTCTTACATGTGGGTTTAATATACTTACCGCAAGGTATCGGTTGCCTTGTTAGTGCCTTAGGTACAGGAAGATTTTTAAATTACTATTACAAAAGGCGAAAGGCTGCGTATGAGCTTCAATATTCTGGCTTTTCTGATTCGGAGAAACCTAAGTTTAATCTTTTGAGGAGTAGGTTTGACGTCTGCTTAGTCCCTGGAATATTGGCTATAGTAGGAGAAGTTATATTTGGGTGGTGCATTCAGTACAAAGAGCCAGCGATATCGATTATCATATCTACTGTGTTGGTTTCTACTTCGGTTTCCAGTTTTGTATCTATAGCGACCACCATTTTGGTCGATTTATTTCCAGAGCATAGTTCAACACTGACAAGTTGTATGAACTTAGTACGATGTTTATTGGCTGCATTATTTGTTGGGGTATTAGATAAGATGATTAGTTGTATGGGATATGGTGGAACTTTTACTTTCATGGCCGGAATAGGTGTCCTTGCCGATTGCGGATTGATTGTTATGGTTTTTCAATACACCAAATCTTTATCAAACCCTTCTGTATAGGGCGGTGAGGTTAATAGTGGATGTATTTTAAAGGACTTATATAGATATAATAGAATGATAGATGACTAAGAACCATTAGGGCTCTACATAGAGTGACACGAATTCCAATGCATTAAGGAGCCAAAGTTCTACACCATTGTAAAACACTGATAAACCATTCTTAAGTATCTACTACATTTACAGAGTCTCGCAACGAGAAATAAATATTAATTGAAAGTGCTAAATAAGTAAGTTATCACAAGCTCAACTATTGAGAAGCACATTGAACACCAGGACCAGCACCACCTTCTTCTTCATCAGAATCATAAGCATCACGTCTATTTCCAGCAGTGTGCTTCCTAGGGTCTACGTCCACCAAATCGCAATCATCAACTTCCACACCCTTTGGTATAGTGACCTTAGATCTTGGGGGAAGAATACTTTCTAATGCCTTCAACTTTTCTTCATCTGCAAAATGATTCTTAGGGAATTTAACAGTAAACTTAATAAATAAATTACCTTTACCACCATGTCTGTAAACAGGCATACCTTGATTTTCGATGACTTTTTGTGAGCCTGGGGAAATAACTTCGCCCGCAATTATCGAAGTCCTAATAAATTCACCAGATACATGTTTAAATGCAAGCTCTCCACCAGCTAATGCCGTCAATAAATCAATTTCAGCTTCATAATATAAATCATTACCTTTCCTTGTGAATTTATCATTTGGCTTCTCATCAACAACAAAGATCACATCGCCTGGAGTGATACCAGGCTCTTGATCACCTTCGCCGCTAAAAACAATTCTTTGACCATCTTTCATACCTGGATCAATATGAACTTGTAAAATTTTACGCTCTGTCTGGGTTTTCTTACCTTTACAAGCTGCGCAACGATCCTTAGGATCACAAATATCACCGGTTCCTTGACATACATCACATACCGTTTGAAATCTTTGAATCATAGGACCCATCTGCCTGGTGACAAATTTCATACCTTGACCATGACAAGAAGTACATTGCTTGATTTTGCCCTCTTTACCTCCACGACCGTCACATTCTTTACATAAAACAGTCTTGTTCAATGCCAACTTAGCTGTTCTACCTTTATACAACTCCTCTAAAGTACACGAAATCGAATGTTTGATATCTTTTCCTTTGGTGGGCCCACGAGAAGCTCCACCACCCATGCCACCAAAACCACCACCAAAGAATTGAGAAAATATATCTTCTGCTCCCATTCCTCCCATTCCTCCAGCACCTGATAAACCTTCTTCACCAAACGAATCATACGCTTCTCTTTTTTCATCATCTGATAATACCTCATATGCTCTAGAAATCTCTTTAAATTTTTCAGCGGCCTCTGGAGATGCGTTTTTATCTGGATGGTATTTTAAAGCTGCTTTTCTATAAGCCTTCTTTAATTCAGTATCGGATGCCGATGGCGAAACGCCCAATAGATCATAAAATTTCGTTTCCTTGACCATTCCTCTAACTTTATTCTACTAAATCAATAATGATACAAGTGAATTCGTTTCAATGATTAGAATTATAATTACCAAGTTTAAAGAATAAATACGATTCTACTTGAGAAGAGGAATAAATTGTGATAGAATATTCTTCGAAATTCTTTGAGCGCCTCTTCTGAAAAATTTCTTTTTGGTCAGAAAAAAAAAATCGTTTTGTGTCGCTTATCAAATGTGCATACAAGATGATTAGAAACAAAGTGGCTGCTTAGTATAAGTTGCAATACTAAATCTAAATAGCTATGGAATTTAACGAAATAAAAGTGTCTCTTTACGAAGTAAAGGCTCTAACCAGCATGTTCAAATATCTCACTGTGCAACTTACCATTCTTCACGGTATGTTTGATCTGCTCCGGAGCTGCTACTTCGATGAAATCATCGTCTTTAGGAAGATTAATGTTCAATGCAGTTGTGCAACTTGTGAAAACTTGAGGATCAGCCTCAGCAGCTTCTTTAGATAAGTAGATACTACCCTCGTCTGATTTATCGATACTAATGACACCTACAGAGCCAGTAACTTGCACACCAAACTTGTAAGACTTGATTATGTCAATTCCTGAGATTAAAGAATCAACCACAACCCCAGTTTTACGAGTTTCAGATATTGAAATAGCATTTGCTTTTCCTTTCACTTGAACGGTTAATCCATCACAGTTTCCAATATAGATCGAGTGGTTCATTTCAGCATCGATTATAATTGGCAGTTGTACGTCATCAGCAGTATAGTTCTCAATCATCCACTTAGAGCCATCAACTAGTTCTTTACGAGGTGGTTTCGACTTTGGAACAGGCCCAGTAGATAAATTAGATGGTTTCTTCGATGCGGCAGGCTTTTTGGGAACCGCGGGAGGCTTCTTAGGAGCGGACTTATCAACCTTTTTAAGGCCCGATGTAATATTTTCACCTTTGTTGAGTTGAGCAAACACGGCATTCATGCCTCCTGTTGATGATTGTGTTGGAGTCTCTTCTTCAAAGATGGTCGCTGGTGGCAATGGAGGTGGAGGTGGAGGTGGTACGCCGCCAGAAGGAGCAGTCGCAGTATCTGAGTTAGACGATGATAGGACATCCTTCAAAAGTTTACCATCGCGCTTATTCCACGATGGACCAGTAGTATGATACTCTTTGGCATATAAGCTAAGAGGTTCGAATATTCCCAAAAATTGTTTTACCCATTCAGTTTGCTTTTCGTCACCTTTATATTCTTTCATGATACGATTTGACCAGAATTGTGAACTATCTTTGAAATCAAGGATTATAGATACTGGGGTTTCAGTTGCAATCCATCCTAAAACTGCACTTCCTTCACTTATTGTGCTTAGGTGGTTGAAAAATTTCGATTTTCTATTTGCTTCTTTGATGTCATTAATCTTGCTGATGCATCGATTGATTGGTGAAAACAATTGCAGATAAGCAGGATCAGTAGGATCAGGCTTCCTTGTGATAGCGACTATCTCTAAGAATTTCTTTTCCTCTTCAAATGCTTTGCCCAATTCTTCGGCTGCTTCACCTACAATCGGATCGATCTCTTTCGATGTTTGAATGAATGGGGTTATATAAGAATCAATGTATTCCTTAAACGCGGAGATCAGCTTTGGTATTTCAGCTTGCGAAGGAACTGACTCCTTTTTCGAGCTTGTTTTTTGATTAACCTCTGCATTTGAAGTATTGGCTGTCGATTTATCTTTAGGTGACGTAACATCACTTGCTTCCTGTTGAAAAATTGTAATATCTTCAAGACGTGAAGTAGCCGCCTCTAATCTCTTGAGAATAGTAACTATATTATAGCCGTGTATATTGAATTGACTCTCTTCTGCCATTGTTGCTAGTATCCTCTCCTTCCTTACCTTTCTCGGTGGAAACTAAAGTTATATTTGTCAACAACTTCCTTAATTTTACGTGCTCCGACCAGACACGAAGGATCCAACTATATCAGTATTTTTCATCACCAGAAAGATTGCCGACTAAAACTCCAAAAGTAAGCGCAGTATTAGAATCAAAATTCTATATGACAATACTGAAAGCTATCATGGAGGATCAAAATCTTCCTCCTCAAAAACTTCATCCACTTATCGATGTCGTTCCACCAGATGAGCCAGAAGAGCCATTTTACAAGAACTACAAAGAAGGTGTCCCCATAGCGATAGATATGGGCCTTTCCACTGTGAGAGCAGGCTTGACAAACTCAGCAGAACCCAACAACGTCTTTCCGTCTGTGGTGTCTCGCTATAGACACCGTAAGTCAACGACAACGCTAACTATAGTTGGTAATGACTGTCTCAGAAGTCCTGCTGTGCGATCATCTACCAAACCACCCTACGACGGACCACTTGTAACAAATTGGGATTATATTGAGTTTATTATGGACTATACTATTGAGCATCTAGGTGTCACAAGTAATAATGGTAGGCTTAATAATCCTGTGATTATGACGGAACCTATTGCATGTCCTTTCAATCAACGAAAAAATATGTACGAATTGTTATTTGAAGCATATAGAGCCCCAGCGGTGACTTTTGGAATCGATTCATTGTTTTCTTATTACGCTAACACCAACGGAAATTCGAATGGATTGGTAATCGGAACAGGGCATGAACAGTCGCACATCATTCCAGTTCTTGATGGTAAAGGAATTCTTCTGCAGACCAAAAGAATTGACTTTGGTGGTAATACTGGCCAACAGTTTTTGTCTAGAATCCTTGCTTTAAAATATCCTTATTTTCCTACTAAATTGAATTCCAATCACACCACCAATTTGTTCAAAGATCATTGCTATGTTCTGACGGATTATCAACAAGAATTAAGTCACTATTTAGACATGGATTTTCTCGATAACCACGATATAGTTATACAGGCGCCAGTTGATGTCTCAAATGTTAGTGATAAGAAGAAGTCAGACGAAGAGTTGGCAAGGCAAACTCAAAGAAGAAGAGAACAAGGAAAAAGATTACAAGAACAGGCCCAGCAAAAGAGGGCTGAAAAGCTAGTTCAAAAGCAACAGGAATATGACTACTATGTTGAATTACAGAAGGAAATTGTGTCTCTTGATGAAAATTTAGTCGAAACGAAATTGGAGGAACATGGGTTCGACGACTTGAGTGATTTTAAAAAGTACTTTAATACACTTGAAAAGTCACTCAAAAGAGCAAATCAGGGAAATTTTGAGGAGGAAGAAAGTGTCGAACCTTCGACAACTTGGCCCCTTGTTGATATTCCAGATGATCAATTAACAGCTGATCAGATAAAAGAGAAACGAAAACAAAAACTTAATAAAGGTAACTACGAGGCTAGAGAAAGAAATCGTGAGCTTAAGAGACAAGAAGAAGAGGAAAAGATTCGTCGACAGAAAGAGGAAGAAGAATGGAGGAAACGCGATTTAGAAGGCTGGTGTAATCAGAAAAGATTGGAGGTAGCAGAAATAATTAGCAAGATGAAAGAAAGGGCAAAGCTAATCGATTCTTTCAAAGATAGAAAATCTATGGCAGCTCAACAACGTATGAAAAACATTGCCGACCTAGCTAATGACGAAAATGGTTCAACAAATTCGGCATCGCGAAAGAGACGCCGTAACGTGAGCTCAACAATTGATAATGATCCTAATGACACATTTGGAGCAAATGATGATGACTGGAGTGTTTACAGAGATATTTCCAATAAGACATTAGAGGAGGATCAAGAAGCAGATAATGAAGAAGTTGTGAAACTAGAAGAAGAGCTTCTTAAATATGATCCCAATTTTCACCAGGAGGATACTCTTGCTGCATCCCAAGTCTTTGATTGGAGAAACCTGGTATTGCACAAATTTTTGCATGGCCCTAGGCCAAATATTACGATAGCAATGCAAGCTGAAGGTATGGACCCAGAAGAAATCGCCAATCATCCTGATATTATTACTAAAAATCGCCAAATTCATTTAAATATTGAGCGAATTCGAGTACCTGAGATCCTATTTCAACCTATTATTGCAGGACTAGATCAGGCGGGTATCCCTGAGATCCTGGAAGATTTGATCCATCGGAGGCTAGATGGAATCTTGAAAGAAGGCGGCCAGTCGTATAGCATAGTTCAAGATGTCTTCCTTACTGGTGGCTTGGCTCGTTTGAAGAATATCAGACAGAGAGTAGAGACTGAATTCACAAGCTTTTTGCCAGTTGGCACGCCTTTGAAGGTAAGAACCGCAAGGGACCCTTTGTTAGACACATGGAAAGGTATGCAAAAGTGGTCTACAAGTGATGAATGTAAGAAGAGTTATGTTTCAATCAAAGAATATGAAGAATACGGTCCAGAGTATATAAAAGAGCACGGGTTAGGAAATGTATGCTTACGTTAAAATAGTTCTTTAATGGTGCTTTCTTTTTGAATATAATATACAAGACAAAGCTATTGTATGCTATGTAAGTGCAAATGTTTCAAATCTTTATTTTGTATTCGCAGTATTGGGATTAATACCTTTCTTTTTCAAACTTCTTTTGACAGACTGGTCAATAAATTCTTTATCAGCGTCATTGTCAAAGTCAGCAAAGTCATCGTGGATAATTCCTTCCTCTTCAAGTTCAGCTCTTGCCAATGCTTCCTTCTCTTGTGCGCCGGCACCCGAAACGTCATGCGAAGATGGTGCGACCTTTTGAAATTTGGCTACAAAGAAACCATCAACATTATAAGTATGAGGATAATAGCGCCTAGTCAACGAAATTTTTGGGTTGAAATGTTTGCCACGAAATGAAGTGAAACCTGGTTTACCTATCTGTAACCCAGTTTCGACAAGTTTTACATTCAGCCTCTTCCTTAACGCATAATCAACGACGGCCTCATTTTCTTCAACAGCAACTGAACATGTCGAATAGACTATAATGCCGCCGGTAGATGAATTCGAATCAACAGAATCTATAGCTGAAAGTAATAATTGTTTCTGAAGATGAGGAATCTTCATAAAATCTTTCTCAGTTCGACTTACTTTGACTGATTCATCCTTAGCAATAACACCTGTACCTGAGCACGGAGCGTCTAAAAGTACCCTATCAAAACCACCAATGACTTTAGGAAACTCTCTCGCGTCATAATTGCAGACTATAACATTCTTACATCCTAGTCTGTGGATATTAGCTATCAAAGACTTAGTACGACCCTTGTTTGCATCATTTGCGAAAATGGATCCAGTATTCTTCATCATTGCCGAGATATAAGTTGTCTTACCTCCAGGGGCTGCGGCCATATCTAAAATACGTTCGTTTTCATGAGGGTCAAGTGCCATCACTGGTAAAAACGAGGAAGCTGCCTGTAGAATATAATGGCCGGCTAAGTATTCAGGTGTTGCACCAATTGGAACTTGAGAATCAAAAACCTGCAATCCCACTTTAGTCCAAGCACCTATTGGTTGTAAATTTACTCCACGATTCACTAAAGCTTGTGCCAAGTCACGACGTCTAGTTTTTAATGTATTAGTCCTGATAGTAACTGGGCGAGCAATTTCATTAGCTTCAAAGAATTCTATTGCTTCAGTCGGAGAGAAAAGGTTGAACAACTTATCAGCTAAGAATAGCGAATAACCATAGTACTCGCATATATCCTTAAGTAGCCTATCAGTATAATCCGCCCTTGACTTACCTTCTTCAGCTAGCTCTTTGAAATTTTCTAAGACCTTTACAATTTCAATCATTCTTGTTCTATAAATAGTCACATCCTTTGGTTGTTGGGCAAGCGCCTCATCTTCGGCTTCGGTAGGGAGAACTTGTGCTTTTGGTTGCTTGATATCTCCTTTTAAAAGTTCTTCTTCTGCTTCTTCTGCCTCTAATTGCTCCTCCTTGTCTAATTTCTTAGACAAGGCCGCCATGTTTGCCGCATTCAAGTCTTCCAAGTCATCATCATCGTCTGAAAACATAAGTTTATCGTGTTCATCTTCATCAGCGCTATATGAGTCATTCGAAATGTCGCTATTGACATCAAATTCGTCGTCTTCGAGCTCAAGATTGTCTATTTCATCGTTTTCATCTTCATCAGAATCGTCGAATAAAGATTTTTTTGCAGAACTAATTTCATCTGGATCGCTCTTTATAGTTGAGTCTTCCTTTTCCTCTTCCTCTACTACTTCTGGATCTCTCAATTTATCTTTCTTTGTCTTTTTTGTATTAGGTACTAATTCGGCATCATTGTTCAGGGACCTCTTTTTAGAACTATCGGAGTTGACTTTCAGTGTAGACCCCTTTCTTCCTTTCGAAGAATTAAATTCGTCGAAAGTTGGTGGGATCCCTTGCTTATTTTTTGCTCTTCTACCCATATTTAACTAAAGAACTTAACGCTAAATTTATAACACTATTTTTTTATTAGGAGAAAACTTGTGCGATGAGATAAATGAAAATTATGGAATTTTCATTTTAAAAAAAGCACGACCGACTTCAACTATTGAAATTGAAGGTATCTTTGAAATATGGAAAACGTTGAAGTTGATTCTGAAAAGCGAAGTCATAAGAGCTATGATGCTATTCAAGTTGATAACTATGTTGTCATACGTCTTCCATCGGAAGGTATGAAAATAGTTGAATTGAGGAAAGATGGGGTTATAAGCTTGGGAAAGTTTGGAACATTTGAAGTAAATGGTGTCTTGGGTTTTCCATTTGGCCAATCTTTCGAAATTCTTGATGATAACAAAGTTAGTCCTATCAAGAGTTTATCAGAAGATATATCGAAAGAACTCAATGATAATACAATTACCAAAGATGATCTAACAAAAATCTTCAGTAGTGCAGAGAGTAACCAGAACATAATTGACGTAGGATCAAAGATCCAAAAGCTCACCACAGAGGATATTGACAACCTCAAAAAGTCAGGCGCATCCTCTAAAGTCGGTCAACTGATAATAGAGCAAATAATTGCTGGTCATGGTAGCTTCGATAAAAAAACAATCTATTCTCAACAAAAATATATAAAAAGAAAGCAGCAGAAGTTCTCAAGGAAATTTACAATAGAATATCTCGGAGCTTCACAGTTATTGCAGTATTACATTGAAAAAGACCTAACCAGGGTGCTCGATATGAGCGAGGAGACTTTGGGCTTGCTCTTGACCTATGCAAATGTTAGACCGGGAGGTAAATATCTTCTTATAGATGAGACTGGAGGAGTCATTCTCTATTCAATGATGGAAAGAATGAAATGCGAAGGGACTATAGTCTGCATCCATGAAAATGAGCACCCAAATCATGTGGCTTTGAAGTATTCTAATTACCCAAGCGAGGATCAAGAGAGACTTATAAAAACTATAAATTGGTTACAATTCCTAGAACCACAAAATGAGAAAATTGACTGGAAGGAAGCCTCCGAAGAGGAATTGTCAGAGATGAAATCATCCAAAAAAGCACAGTATTATCGTAGAGCAAAGCGGGCTAATGAAATAAATGACGTAATTGATATGGTAGTTGAAGGCAATTTTGACGCTTTAATATGTGTGAGCACTTTGTACTTGCCAACTTTAATTCCCAAAACACTTAAGGCAGTAGGTGGATCTAGACCAGTTGTCATCTACAGTCAATTTAAAGAGATACTACTCGAAGCGCAGCATTCTTTCGAGAGTGAAAAAAAGATCCTTGCACCCTCTATATTCGAAACTAGAGTTAGACCGTATCAGACTATCATTGGAAGAATGCATCCTGTAATGTCTCAAAAAGGTTATGGTGGCTACGTATTATCTGGAACAAGAGTATATCCAAAAAATTGTGGCGTAACAGCTGTTGGTAGAGGTTCAGGGAAGAGAAAAGATAAAACTCTTGTCAAAGACGAATGAACATATTATTTAGTGTAATATACAATATAGGTATCAGATTTCGTAAACTTCGTCACATAGGTCTTTTAATCTACTCATTTGGGAATCTGGTTTCCAACCGACGATACATCTAATTACACCATTTGAATCGTGAGATATTCCTGTGCACCATGAACTATCTGTTCTAAAAGTCAATTGTCTTTGGACTTCTGACGCTTGCAGCCGATAACCTAATTCAAAAACAAAGCCTGAAGCTCTCAGTGGTAGAACAAGGTTCTTAATTAATGCTTCATAAAACTCGTACGCTCCTACCAAAGCTAGGGATGGTTCATATTCCCTCACCGATTTTTCTATTCCATCCAAAGCCAAGGGCAACATGTAATGGTTTAAAGGTATATAAGGAGGATTGGATACGACAAGATCCAAATTATTAACTTTCAAAGTGTTAAGAACGTTGCGATCAAGTACGTCAGCTATTTTGAACTTAACATTTGTGTCATAATGATCATCTTCATACTTTGTTAAATTGTCTTTCGACAATTTAAGTGCATCAGCTGAAACATCGAACCCTTCTATCATGAAATTCGTTTTAATCAGGTTTTGAAGGACATGATTCAATAAAAGGGTAACACATCCAGAACCAGAGCATGCATCTATTATTTTAAGTGGACCATTAATTGTACAAAGAAGATCTGCCAATTTGGAAACCCACTCCTCAGTTTCGGGTCTTGGTATCAAGACATTTTTTCTACATAGTATGTCAAGTGGTCCAAATGGCTGACTACCAAGAATGTATTGCAAAGGCTCGAATTTTGACCGTCGTTTTACGGCATTGTACAATTGATCTTCAGGAACTTCTTTTTGCATCCATCGAAGCTCTCGCTTCGCACCAGATAGACCTCCATTCACTCTCAAAAGATATGGAAGTAACCTAGACTCTAACTTTGCTTCCCTAATATGTTTTGGAGATACCCTAGGCATAAGAAACCCTACAAGATTATTTCTTTCATTACTTCGCGAATCTGATATACACTTTAGTGAATTAAAATTTTGTTTTCTCACTTTATACAAGAACTTGGTTTACTATTTATAATAATTCAGCACTTACATACCTTTCCTAGCGTAGAACATATAAGCTCTCTCATGAACATGGTCTGGGAATGGAGTAATGACCTCAGAATGGCCCGGCCTTGCAATAGGATCTCTTAAATAAATAGCGTGGCACGTGCTGAATGAGATTTCTAAATGAGAGGGCAAAATAGCGAAGCACCCAATAAAAGGTCGAGGTGTCCAGGGTGTAAAATACAGTTTTGAAGGGTCCTCACGGCCAAATAAACCTTTTTGCCATGGGAGACTAACTTTTACCTTTGATTCATCTTCAAGGGCAGCTTCCTTATCTAGCTTAGGATGATAGGACAAATTTTTGAAGAAACTGGGTGTCAAAGGGATACTTTTAGCAGATTCCGGAAGCTTTGCATTTTGTGCTGAGATACGGATTTCTTCGAGCCTTGATTTGACGACTTCACCCAATATTTGCTTTATGACAGAGGCAAGCTTCGCTTCTTCCTTAGTTTCAAACTCTGTAGATTTTCTGGAGATGAATGATCTTGCGTCACTCAAAGACGAGCTCCGAAGTAAGATGTGCTTCGACTCAACTAACTTTTGGTATAAATCAAGGCACTTATTACTATTGTGATCACCGAACTCTTTGAAAACAATTGGAGAAAGAGATTCGCCTTTAAAGTCGTTTCCAAGTTCCAATATCTTGGCCAAGACCGCCTCTCTCGTTGTCCCATTCTGTTCCCTTATCATCTGTTTATCAAGCACGTCATTGTACTTTTTCACTTCGTCTTTTCTATGAACTCCTTCTTCTAACAGATTCAAAGACTTTGGCTTTGTTTGTTTCAACTCCCATACATCCCTTGGATTCTCTTTTGCTGATTTCACATATTTATTCCATACTGCAATTTGCTTATTGTCAACTTTTAGTGCCTGCTGCAAACCAGGCTTCACCCTGCCCATTGCTAAAAGTACTTTGTCGGGTTCGACACTAAATACGTCGCCTGCCCTCAATGGAAATGATGGATGTTTGATAACTACACCATTAACCTGCACATGCCCACCTAGGATGAATTCTCTAGCTTGCCTTACAGAAGAGGAAAACATTGCCCTAAAAAGTGCAAACTCTAGTCTTTTTTCTAAACTTGCAAAAGATTGCAACGGCATGGGGGTCGGATCAACCTTAACACCCTTCAAAGATGCATCCAACTGAGCTACGGACTCAAGATTAGGATTGAATAATTGTTTCCAACGTCTCTCGGTTAAATGTTCACCATGATACGCTCTTGTTTCTTGCTTTGCCGTCCACTTTTGTTGATACAAAGTTTTTCCTTGATAATTAATTGCGGGCTTTTTGTACAAATTGAATAGGTTATACTTATTCATCGAGGAGCGAACTCGACCCCTGCTCATGGAGTTCATATTTTGTGTTCTCCTAGGCATTATGTTTGTCGTATATCAGAGAGCTGCAGTGGAAGCTGATCAAACTATGATCTTTGATGATAATTCTTGAGCATTTCAGTATTTTTTTTTTCACTTTTCAAATAATGGTCACCTGATGTAATATCGAAAGTTCATATACTATCGCAAACACACACTATTCTTGGGCTATTATATAAAGAAGCTTTATTCCTTCCAATATATATGAACCATGCCACAATGAAATGGAACTTAGATGATGAAATAAAGTTTTTTAATCTAGTCTGTGATTTCAAGCCTGCTGGCAAAAATAAGCAGAGACACATGATATCCATCGTCAAGGGTATGAACAAAGAAACAGCTGGAAATACCAGGCAATTTACTGCCAGTGACCTCTGGAGCAAACTCGAAACTTTATACAATTTAGAAGGCTTAGACGCTATAGAAGATGAAGAACAAAGTAATGGTGAGGGTGGTGAATCTGCTTCAGATAATGAGCCTGATGTTAATGCGGTTCCCAGAAAACAATCTATAGTAACATCTAAAGAAAAGATTAACCGCCATGGAAGGAGAGCGAAACATGAAAAGGCTAAAGACTCAACCAAGCATCATGAAATCGATCAAGTAGATAGCAAAGGGCAAGCAGAAAAGGAAGCGGATATCCAAAATGCAACTCTGGAAGAGCAAAAACCCGAAACTGGAAGCGAAGGGGAACATGACGAACAACTGAATAATGGTACTGATAATGAAATACAAGATGATGGAAGGAAAATGGCTAGGGGCCAAAAAGCTCAAATGCAGAAGGAATCTTCGGCGCCGAAGAAAAGAACACGGTCAACGGCTAGATTGGAGACTACTGAGTCCACTCCCAAACGAAAACAAGTTAACCAAACTTCCCCGCCTCTAAGCTCGCAGACTACTCCGAGCACTTCAAAGAGAAGGACTAGATCAGAGGTGCAAGTCGAAGGAGAAGATGTTGCCAACCAAGGTTTAGATTTGGAACTTACACCTTCTCTGAAGGTTTCGAGTTCTGAACTAGTCAAATCGGAGGATGCAATTGATGAAGAGTCATCCAGACCAGCTACACGAAGGTCTACTCGGTCTTCTCTCCCTTTACCTTCTCCTATGAAGCCCACTTCACAAATAAGAAGGAGCTCTCGAAAAAAGGTTTAATAATTAATATTCTATAGATGTACAATAAATAATAATGATTCGTCTCTTCAATGTGAGTGAGCTTCTTAATTTTAAGGAACCATTGTACATAGTGAAGTAAAAATATGATAAAGCTGGTGTAAATCTTATTTTTTTATGCCTCAATGTTATGAGAAAGATGGAAAGGTCGCTTATAGCGTGCTCTCTAGCAAGAAGGTAAAACGCGTTGATCGACAAAACCATGTTTTAAATCAATTTTACCTTGAGAGAATTCATGTCGAAAGTAAAGAAAATTGAGCTTCGAATGATAATATGATTATTAAAAGGCAATTCTTGTTCCTGGGAATACTTCATGGAAGCCAAAGGTCTGGTATAACCAAAACAGTAATTCAGTCCAAACCTCTCAAGTTTTTTCGTTTAATTGGATCAAAACTGACATCCTTGCCTCTACCAGACTGGGATAGAGGTGGAAGGAAAGAGAAGGAAAGCTTAACACCATTGTATGCATCTATGAAAAAAATGATAGAGCAAAACACAGGTTGTGTTTGCTTGATTCAAGTTGGAAGCTTCTATGAGCTTTACTTTGAACAAGCCGAAGATTACGGTCCACAGCTTGGGCTTAGAGTTGCTACACGTAAAACAAGTAATTACAACATTCCAATGGCAGGGTTCCCAGTCTATCAATTGCAAAAATTTGTAAAGATATTAATTCAAGAATTACAAGTTAATGTTGCAATCATTGACCAATATCCAACTATCAATAAAACAACGGACACAATTATACATCGAAAAATATCTCGCATAGTGTCGCCTGGAACATTAGTTGATGAAAGCTTCATGAACTATAATCAGAACAACTATTTAGTTTCAATTTCTTTTCCAAGTAATTTCATCAAAGCTCCTGCTGATCCCGATATGAGCGTCGGTCTATCTTGGATTGATTTATCTGTTGGAGACTTTCATGTCCAAGAAACAACATTGGTGGACCTTGTTTCTGACCTTAGTAGAATCAACCCAAGTGAAGTTATAATTTCAAAAGACTTCCAAGAGGAGAATTTGATGAGCGGTGCTTGGTATCCTGGATTGCAAGATTTAAAAAAGTATTTTACAAGATATCACAAGACTGTTTATGAAGACTTGAAGCATCGCTTTAGAAGTAATATTCAAGCTACGAGGAAGCAATTGGAAAATTTCTCGGTGAGAGAGGAAGCTGCTATGAACATGATCTTGTCATATATAAAAGTCAATTTGCCAGATTCAAATCCTTCGTTAGATATACCTTCACAATACTGGAAACAGAACTGCTTACAAATGGATCCCAGAACACGAGAAGCCCTTGAGCTAACCGAACGTTCAACGATTGGCCATGGTTCTTTGGTTGGTTCTTTTTTGTCTACAATTCGCAGAACAGTTACAAATTCGGGGGCACGATTGCTCACACAGTGGATAAAGGCACCAATATTAGATATTGAGGAACTCAAAAGAAGACAGAGCTTCGTTACCATTTTCAAAGAAAATTTTCTCTTGAGGATTTCTCTCAGAACCCAGTTATCCCAACTTGGTGACTTTGTACGCTCGGTACAAAGGCTTGCTTTAGGAACAGGGGATCAGACCATTCATTTGGCTGCGATTGGAGATGGATTGACAAAATTGGAAAACCTAAAAATTTTTTTGATTAATGAAACACAAACTAATGATGATTTGAAAAATGTTCTTGAGCCCTTTCTTGCAAACTTCGACGTTCCTACAAGTTTAGCTTATGAGATTAACCAAACCATCAATCATGATTACCAAAACTCTACATTTAGAAACCCGTCCGATGATGCTGATGAGAAAGATCCTGAATGTATTGTAAGTGCAGCTGTGACTGGGTCTTATAGAAATTCAGCTATTGAAAGTTATAAAGATCGAGGGCTGAGGCAACAAGATGACCCAACATTTGCAGTCAAGAGACATTACAACAAACTGCTCAATAAATTGCATGAATCATTAGATGAGCTTAAAGAGGCAGAAAAGGAAATGTTGAGTCAAACGCAAAATCAATTGAGTGATATTGACGAAAAACTAATTGTCAGAAAGAAAGAGCAGCTAGGTAGACATTCTAAAGTACTTCACATTTCTGGAAGACAAAAGCTGATACTCAGTGGCTACGAACGTTTAAAAGAACATGTAAAGGAAAAAAGAAAAGGTTCCTTACTCTACAATCCTCCTGCTTGGATTCATTGCCAGTTACAGTTACAGGATAAAATCGACGCTATTAAAATAGCCGAAGATAAAATTATTGAGAAATTACGAATTAAGGTGCTTGATAGTATAACTACTATACGAAGGATCAACAAAGAAGTCGACTTTCTTGATGTCACATCTTCATTTGCTGTTTTAGCTGAGGAGGCTAATTTTGTATGTCCTGAAATTGTGGAACTGGAAGAATTGACTATTAAGGATGGTAGGCATATTGTGGTTGAATCTGGTTTAAGAGCTGCCGGAGAAATGTTTATGCCTAATGATACATATATTGGGACTGATTCGAAAATGTGGGTCATAACTGGTCCGAATATGGGAGGTAAAAGTACATTTTTGAGGCAGAATGCCCTCATCGTCATCTTGGCTCAAATGGGATCGTATGTCCCTGCATCTTTCGCGAGGATTGGAGTAGTGGATAAGATATTCACTCGTATTGGTGCTTCTGATGATCTTTTTAGCGACTTGAGCACATTCATGGTTGAGATGGTTGAAGCTAGCAATATCTTGCAGAATGCTACTTCTAGATCTTTAGCAATTGTGGATGAAATTGGAAGAGGCACTAGTGGTAAAGAAGGTTTAGCAATTGCATACGCTACCTTGTTGAGCCTTTTAGAGGACAACAGGTGTCGAACCTTATTTGCGACACATTATGGTCGAGAATTGGATTTTTTGTTGGGCGCTGACAATGTGAGTAAGGATGCTATTCGTTTTTTTCGTACAAGAGTTTTAGAGAAAAAATCTTCATCAGAAATTTTGAATCTAATTATTGATCATGTTCTAGAGAAGGGAATCAGTGAAAGGTCTTATGCACTTGAGGTAGCACAAAAAGCCGGATTTCCTTCCACAACATTATCAAACGCTAATCGTGCTCTAAAATTGCTAGCTACCAACCATTTATAGATCTACAAATTAATGCATCCTAATTATTAAACTATTCGACTATGGATTATTACCGTCTCCCTGACCACCTGTATCGGAACTTTGATCTTTTTGACTCTTCAAGCGACTTACGATGAGTTGCTGTAATTGCAATAATTGTTCTTGCTCCACATGACTTTGCGAAGGAGTATGGTGCGACAAAGATGCATTGCTAGTTGTTGGGTGATTGAACTGGCTAGGTGAAAAGCTAGAAGGATTTGGATGGTTGAACTGGCTAGGTGAAAAGTTAGAAGGATTTAGCTGATACTGGCCCTGGATGTTAGGTGCTAAAAAATTATTCATTATAAGATTTTGATTCAGTGGAAAACTCAGCCCATAAGTAGCACCGTTGTTCTCAAATGCAGGGAAAAACTTACTTTGTAAGTGTAGAGGTTGGTAGCTCGTGTAACCGTTGTTCATAAAATTATTGGTTTCATATGCAGTATGGTATTCAGGAGCTTGGGGGTGCAGTTGAGCATAGCCGTAAGGTTGAAATCTTTTAGCCTGAGAGATGCTATCTGTGGTTTGCCTCTTTCCTTGGTCATTTATATTTTGATGGATTTTGGGTGGGACTTTTGAATTGTTCTTCTCTTTCTTTTTCTTCTTCCTCACTTGCTTTGCTGCAAGCTCCCTTTCGTCGTCTGAAAACTCTTGCTCTTCTTCGGGTAATTCTTCATCATGACAGTTACTTGCATCCGTTCCTTTTATATTTTTTATCGAGTCTGTATATAAAAACTGAGAGCTTGGGACAACATAGTAAACCTTTGCACCCTTCTTACTAGTAAAGCTTTCAAATTCTTCGTCTGAATTAAATTTCACTCTGTAAAAAGGAGCCTGCAATCTTCCGAATGTTTCAAAGAGCGGACCAAGAAGTGTCCTATCTTCTAAGCATAAAACTGAGTTATCTTTCAAAATCCTAAACTCTCCGGAAATATTCGCTTTTATCACAATATTCCTCTCAAATATGCCAGTAATTTCTCCTACTAGTTCTAATGGTGCCGACGGGGGTATTGTATAATCTTTTGGAAGCAGCGGTGCTTTTTCATCTATAATCTCATTTTTGGATAAAATGGGGCCAGCACTATTTTCATCTTCTTCATCATCATCAAATTCATCTCTATTACTATGTATTGCCTTTATTCCCCTGATTTCAGAAGCTTCTTTCGATAATGGTTCACGATCGTCAGTAGTTGACTCTCCTTCAGATTCAGATTCAGATTCAGAATTGCTACTTGATTCATCCAGCGAAGAAATGTTTTGATTGTCAATTATAATTTCGTCGTCGGAAAATTTAGCAATATCCTCATCCTCGTGTTTGTAGTCTAGCAATGTCTTTCCTTTGTCTTCGAATACTTCATTGCTTAATTTGTTTGACTGAGAATCTAACATTTTATCTGTTTCATTCTGAAGGTTATTCGGTACAGCCAAATCAATTTTATTATCATCTCTACTATTACCCTCCACTGTTGCATTTCTTGAATCATTACGGTGGTCTTCATTTATTAAGGAGAGCCTTGAACTCTCGCAGTGCGAAGTTTCACTTTCACCTTCAGCTACAGGAAGGGTTACATGTGACGCCTGCAAACAACTTTCTTCCTGCTCTGGATCAAAGTCGCTCTTCTCATTATTCCTTGCATCAGGCAATGTCATCACACCCAATTCTTCGTAACTTAGAATATGTTCTCTAGAGCAGATACAAATCAATATTTTTTTTGGGATGTCATCGCATTCATTTGATACATCACGTGTTGTCCCTCTCTTTCAAGAAGGTGGCCAGCGTTTGACACCTTCCCTTGTTAGTCTATTGAAAAAAGCCTCAGACGTCATCAATGTTCCCACAATTATTCTATAATCAAACCATACTCGTCAGACTTAAAGCAAGCTTTACTTCTTTGTTACGAGCTTTCAATCGTTTCACCTTAAACTAAATTTCTGATACACAACTGCTACAAATGTTCTGACAAGTGGACTCTCATTTGTCAGATCAACCAAATCTTGGTAATTGGCAGCGAAACTCTCTTGAAATAAAGATGCCTTTAGATTCTTCAGCTTGCGATATATTATGAACTACGTGTCATTCCAATGGATATAGAGATCACTTAAACTTGAAACAAATCTGAACTAAAGAGGACACTGTAGCCAGAATGACAATGAATTATCTCGTTCTACGTTTGTTATACTCTCTAGAAATAAAATAGGTACCTGTACGGAGTAGAACAAGAGTCCAATCTGAATAAGACGAGTTCGTCGTTTCACTTGTGTAATTGCTCTCATTTGCTTTCGTCTCTTAAATTTCCTTTCTTATATAGCCAGCATTATTTAAGACAAAGATTCAGACACATGCTAGGCGAACTACATCAAGGAACTGCTTAAGCGCTTCATATCCATAACGTTGACACACCCTCGGAACTCATTCGAAACAACCTTTTTAGGCTTTCAAATTTCTAACTGTAAACTAGAGCCAGCATCACTCTGCGATTAAGTGTTTTCGTGAAACAAAGTATATATTAAGGTGCTTTCCATCATTCTTGTTCGTTGCAATCGGCATCTCATCTAATAGTATAGTTTTTTGACTTTCATTCCTTCAAGCAGTTCTTGTTATCCGGTTTTTAAACCTGTCATTCCTTAAATATAATAAGAACACAACGCTATAACCGTCAATTAGTAAGTATTTCTATCTGCGTGGCGTGTGGGATTCTCTTTAGCTGACAAGTGAGATAAGTCCTGTGTTGTTGCAAAATTCTCGAATAAATTAATTTTTAAAGGAAGTGCGACCTGCCATTTCAAAGCTGGTTTAAAGACAAAAAGAGAAAGGAAAGATTGATTTATGAAATATGTCGATAAAAAAGCGAAATATTCATTAATAGTGCATATCAGAGGTGCAGTTACCAAATAGAAACTAAAAACGCTTAAATTCATGTGCTGGCTCATGCACAGATGGAGTAAATCTCGACTTCATAACGCTCACACTGTTCAATGACAATAAAAGAAGAAAGTACAAAGAGTAGTCTGGTATTGAAAGTAGAGAAAACTCTTATTTTGTGATCCCTCTCTTCAGATCTACTCTGAAGAAGGCCATGCAAAGTAAAGGTTTCACGGCCAATAATGAAAAACACGAGAAAGGAAATAATCTCATAGATCTTGAATCCTACTAATAATATTGAAATCGATACTAACCCCATATTTAGCCTACTAAATCATAGACCATGAAACTCACCAATCTATCTTTAGCCGCTTTGGCCATATTAATTTCTGTATCCAATGCAGCACCTGCCTTTTCAAGTTGCGAGATTGAAGGACACCATAAGCACAAGCGCAATATACAGTACGCTTACGTTACAGTGACTGTTGACCAAAATGGTGATCAAATAAGCTCTAGTGCCAGCAGCAGTCTTGAAGCAGAGGCAACATCGCTCGATACTAGTGAAACTGAGACCGATAGTTCAACGACAACTTCTACCTCTGAACCGACATCTGGGTCTGGAGATTCACAATCTTACCCAACTGGCGATTTGAAGGCATATGAAGACCCAACTGAGAAGTTCGAAGATGGAAAGTATTCTTGCTCAGATTTTCCTTCTGGTCAAGGAGTGATTAGTTTGGATCATTTGGGTTTTGGTGGCTGGTCAGGTATAGAAAATTCAGATGGGTCGACAGGAGGAACTTGTAAGGAAGGCTCATACTGCTCATATGCCTGTCAATCAGGTATGTCTAAAACACAATGGCCAAGCGACCAACCAGAAAGTGGCGTCTCTATAGGGGGATTATTATGTAAAAATGGTAAGTTATACAAGTCAAGCAAAAGTACTGGTTATCTTTGTGAGTGGGGAGTAAATTCTGCCAGCGTCGTCAGCGAACTCTCAAAGTCCGTTGCCATTTGCCGTACAGACTATCCGGGGACTGAAAATATGGTTATACCAACTGTAGTTAATGGAGGTGAATCGTCGACAATAACGGTGGTGGACCTGGACTCATACTATAAATGGCAAGGAAAGTCAACCTCTGCTCAGTATTACGTTAACAATGCTGGCGTTGATTGGACTGAAGGATGTGTATGGGGTACTGCAGGATCTAATATTGGTAACTGGGCTCCTTTAAACTTCGGTACAGGAAGTTCGAGTAATGTTTCTTATTTATCTTTAATACCTAATCCTAATAATCGGGACTCGCTAAACTTCAAGGTAAAAATTGAAGCTGTGGGTGATGCTACAGTGAGTGGATCATGTGAATATGCAAATGGCAAGTTTAATGGCGATGGAACTGATGGCTGCACTGTTGGAGTAACCTCAGGTCAAGCCAAATTCGTTCTTTACAATTGAAATTCAATTCTATCCGATAAAATATAACCTTCCTATGTTATTTTTCCTCACGAAAACACGATGCCCGTGCCAATGTTTTATGATTTTGTATACTATTTGTTTAGACACTTGTTCAATGAATACCATATAATAGAATATGTCTACATGTAATAATTTTTTATAATCATTATTCACATTATAATTACCTCTATGTAAGAATACAAAACGCTGATCGAAAACAATTTAATTGATGATATTCCAGAACTTTTCCCACAAATTTTTTGGAGTTTCATCCCAGTCATCTTCTTCGATAATTCTCACACCAGTATCAATATCACAATCAGCGATCGGGACCATAAAGCTACTCCAGGTAAATGCCTTCTTACCAAAGCCATTGAAATAGAAATGGAAGAAGATAAAGGAGAAGACGAACACAATAACTGAAATATAAGCAGTGAAAAAACTTGCTGCGGTAATACTGAAAAATGCTGAAAATCCTTGAATGAACACAAGAATGAAAACCGTTATGGCACAATAATAAGCACCGTAAGGCATGAATTTTGCTTTGAAAGGTAATGAGCTCCGACTAATGTTGCGATATTTTAAAATGTGCATGAAACGGATATGAGTAAATGAAATCCAACCCCAAGCTATAAGACCACTGACAGCAGTTATGTTTAAAAGCCATGTAAATGCTTTATTCCCTTGATTACTCGTAGCCAAATATCCAAGCAAACCAAAAACAGCCGTGAAAAGTACCGAAACATAAGGAACCCCATGCTTTGTAGTCCTAAGAAATATTTTAGGTGCAACCTTGGCTTGAGCTAAAGCAAAAAGCACACGTGATCCACAATAAATGTTAGAATTTCCCGCCGAAATAATTGTTATCAATATCACAGCATTGAAAATGCTTGGAAGAATTCGAGTTCCCGAGTTTTGCATTGCGATAATAAAAGGCGACGATGCAACATATTGAGTATCCGACATCAATTTTTTATCATTGTATGGTACTAATAAACCAATGAAGAACATGCATAACACGTAGAATACTAATATTCTGAATAAGACTTTTCTAATTGCAGAAGGAACTGTTTTTCTAGGATTTTTAGACTCACCACATGATAATCCAACTAACTCACAGCCTTGGAAAGTAAATGCGGCATTAATTAAAGAACTTAACCAGCCCAAGAATCTCGCTGTATTTTTATTGTGAACCAATATACCAGGGCCCCAAGGACCAGGATTTCTCCAATATCTGAAACCTACAGGTCCAGTAGCTCCTCCACCGACGACCATAATGAAAGCATAAATCAACCATCCTACTACCGCAATAACCTTTAAAGAAGCAACCCAAAATTCGACTTCACCATAAAACTTAACTGGGAAAAGATTTGCAGCTGTAAGGATAACAAAAAATATAGCGATCCAAGCTTCGAGTGGCACAGCGAGAGTCCAATATTCAATAATTTGACCTACAACCGATAATTCTAAGGCAAAGGTAATTGCCCAAGAAAACCAATAGTTCCACCCATTTGCAGCACCAAGAGCAGGTGAGCACCATCTTGCTACAAATTGAGTAAAAGAACCTGGAGCTGGAATATAAGTTGCCATTTCACCTAATGATTGAGTAACTCCGAAAGCAAGTGTTGTCATGAATAAGAATGAAATCAAGGAAAGAACTGGACCTGCATCACTAAGTGTACTTCCTGTTGAAATAAATAATCCCGTACCGATGGTACCACCAATGGCTATCATAGAAATTTGTCTGGCCTTTAATTGCCTCTTGACACCACCAGAAGGATCACCATCTTCATTGCTGGAATCATTCTCCAAAACTTGATACTCATCAAGATCTTCATCCCCTACATATTGACGTGATTTGTCAGAAACAGTTGTCGCTTTCTTTTCAATGGCTACACCTCTATAGTCATCTCCAAACGAGCCAGCATTCTTCTCCAAGTCTGCAGACATTACCTTATTATTTTACAGTCTCTTTTCTACCCAAAGATAATATTGATACACAATTCATACGTTGGTGATTTTGTCCGTATCTTATATCAGTAGACAAGGCAAAAAGAAATAAAAAACAGATGATTGAACTACAATAGATGAGAGCGAAAAAAAAAAAAAATTAAAAAAAAAAATTTACCTTTCCCTAACAGGAACTCAAGAAAAATTTAAATGACGGCGATTATCTTCGAAGAGAGATTCTTTTAGAGCGCAATTGTATTATTATTTCATTGTATTACATTATCCATAGTTATAAGTAGTCTTCATTCAACTAGAGTATAGGTCTCATACTCAGGAGTTAGCTGTCATTCTTTTTGTAGCGTATTGTTGCAGGTTGCAAGGCATTTTCTCAAAAGGGAAAGTCGTGGTCTTACGTCGCGCCGCTCAGGTGCACTAAATTGCCTTAACGGAGACGCCCTCATTCTTATCGCATTAGGCATTTCGGTGGCCTTACGTCTAACCTCTTAGAAGCGGCATTCACATTTTTAGAAACATAAATTTAAAAGATAAGAACTGAAATATACTACTAAGCTTTTAATTTAAGTAACCCTTGCAGCCAGGTGCACCACATAGGCAACGTATTCTTTCTTCATCATTTGTCTCACGCTCAAATTTATAGTCATATGTTAATTCCTCATTAGCCTCAACGTCCTTCAATGCATATATTACAATACGCTTTTTCCCCTCCACTTTAATTATCTTGGCTGTACAACTAGGATTGCAGCAATGATTTATGAATCTTGCTATACCACCCTTCTTCGTCGCATCTATTACAGTGTTTTCATCGATTCTGAAAAGGTATGATGAGCCTATACCAGTCTTCATATAACTGTGTTCCCTATTTTCCGCAACCTGCTGCCGAATACTTTCTCCGACGTACTCAATGATCATCTCCTTGGCAGCAATTGGCTCTAATGCATATAGACCCCAATTGTGAATTGCAGATCTAGCAAAAGACACAGGCTTCTTTCTTTTTGTCAACGTATTTAAACTTAAGACTTCCGTTTCATTACCTAGTTGGGCCGTTATGTCCGCAGCGAATCTACGATTGTTCGCTCTATTAACTCTTGAACTTTGGATATTATTATTAGCACTACTCTCTTCATCATCATGTTGAACTGTTTTAATGGGCTTCTGGACCTTACGACGGCGCAATGGCAAGTATGCTATCTTGTCAACTTCAGAAATCTTTTTATAACCATCACTTCTGAATGAGCCGGACTTCGATTCTAAACGTGGATCTAACTCTTCAATCAAGTCGACATCCTCAGCAATTTCTTGCCAATCTGCCTTCTCATTCTTTTGCTTCCAAGAAAAATACTCGATATTCTCAATCTCAGTTTCTTCTTTAACATCTTCAAGAACTTTTGCTGCAATTTCGAGATCTTCATGATCTTTGATAATCTCCTGCATAAAGTCCAAATCAAAAGCAGTTGATGGGGGCAAATATGGCTCTTCAAAAACGGGTTCAGGGCCCGCATATGTTGGTTGATAGATTTTTCCAGATATATGCAGATCCTCTTCATCTAAAACATTTGCCTTTTTATCTGAGGTATCTTCTTCCTTATCTATATCATCTTCATCTGTGGAAGAGTCGTACATCAAGGATTGTTGTAAGCTAGTCTTTTTTCTTCTTTTGACATCTTCGTGTTCAAAATCTTCCTCATTGCTGGTTACGGTGGAGCTGCGATTTCTCTTCAAACTTGGAGCGATAGGTGTAAGGGACCTAGTTGACTCATCATCTTCTGACTCCTCAGACTCACTATCAAAATTAAGAGCATGTTGAAGTGGAATCATGCTTCTGGTAGGTCTTGACCTTGAACCGGAAGTAAGTGACTTGAGATGATCTTGCTTTTTCTTAAAACTCGGTAGAAGGGCAGTCTGGTCACGCTTAAGAGAATACAAAGGAATTGAGCCTTTCTTGGAAAGCGCATTGGTGTCTATCGGTTTAGTGGCAACCTTTGTAGCTTCTTTGGCTGCTTCTTTCTCTTTTAATTCTTTAACAAGGGCTGGGTATTTATCATGACTCAACAAGTCAAGTATTGCAGGAGCAATGACACGTTCACGAATGTCTTTTGCCAAAAAAGTTTCGAAATCTTTTAGCAACATATTTGCAGCCTCATTGACAACATCATGGGCTTTCCACCGTGGTGTTCGAGCACCATCATCTTCCCCTTGCGATGTCAACAGCATCAGCATATTACAGCCTTCGGGAATTGCAAATTCCATGAACATTCGGTATTCAAAAAATTTTCTGCCGTCTTCATTAAAGAAACATCTCTCACACTCTTTTAATGAACCAAAAACGATGTAGAAACCCGTAAAGTCTGATAAAACTTTTATCCAATCGTATTTATTCAAAGCTCTTTTGATATCCTGTGTCGATGTTCTTTTGGTCGAAACATATTTGTTCTGAATAAGAATATATGGATAACTCCTAATAAACTTCTTTAGTTCTTTGGGTAAAAAAACACCGTTAATTATACGATTATTTTTTCTAACAGAAAGCACAGTGCTATTAGGTAGATATTTTGAAGCATTGGGAGGCTGAGTAATTTTGCTAACTGGTTTCTTTAACTCTTCCTTTTTATTGAGGTCAGTCTTTTTCTTTAATTCTTTTAGTTCCATTTGTTTTCTATGCTTCTTAAGTTCTTCTTCTCTCTTAATTTTTGCTGCTCTTAATTTTGATTTTGCAACTTCTTCCCTGCCTAAAAGTAATTTACCCTCGTTGTCATTTAAACCTATTTTAAACTCCATTCCGTCAATTTTGGGTTTTTCTATCTTAATAGTGCTAATAAACTTTTCAGCCAATCTCATAGCTTTATCTGGCCCCCCCTGGAATTTGAAGACAGCAATTCCCAAAGGAACAGCATTCTCGGGGTCGTTGATGAATTTTAATTCTCGAATAGGATTTCCATAACTCTTAATGAAATTAGTCAAGTAAATCTCGCTTGCACTGGAAGGTAGATCCCAAACGACAAGTTGAGTTCGAGGAGGTGGGCCGAGTGAATCTTCATCAAAAGTGAATTTTGTTTGAGGTAGCTGTTTGAAGGGGTATTTCTTTGACCTTTTGTTAGGTTTCGAGAAATACGTTGTCAATTTTCTGGGATCAGTAACTTCCAGAGAGGCTATCCCCAGACCTGCAAACCTGATCTTTTTTTGCCTTGATTTTCTTTCTTCTTTCAGGATACTCTTATCCAATTCTGGGTCGTAAAGTACGATGTAGTTTTTCTTTTCATCCGTTGGGAGAGAAAACTCAGAATTCGATTGGAAATCAGAATTATGCATTAATTTGGTGAACTTCTGATCTGCTTTGTTTTCTCCAGTTTTAGGATCGGTACCTACTACTGCTTTTATGGCACCCGCTTTATCTTCGTTTGCGGACTTATGTGAACTATTGATAACTTTTTCTGACGACAGAGGTGATTCATTCCCGTTTGAATGACTATTGTTAAAATTAAAATGATCATCGGAACGGTATGAAGCAGTTCTGCTATTGCCTATGCTACCTTTTGGTCCACTTCGATCTCGAAATGACGATGATCCATGATATCGCTGGTGAGCCTTATTCTTATATTCAGAATACCCACCATGATAACTTCTATATCTATAATTATTATATGACGACATACTCTGACGTTTTAGCCTTCCTTATGACTGTCAACTCACACACGAAATTATTAATATGATACAAATATGTTTATCCTGAAATACCAAGAGACGTTCTGAGAAGGAAGGCAAACGGCTGATATTAAAAACGTTTGTTATGAACGTCTTATATGCACAGGAAATAATTAAGCCGTCAGAAACACTGATACAAATCCAAATATTAGCGATGTGTTGCAATCAAGTTTATCTGGCCCTCTTTTCATCATAACTATTCTCGCGTTCCATCACACCCTAGTTTAACTTACATACAGGATATATTGATATTAATGTGATATTCAGAGTTTACCTATATCTAATAAATATCCTAAGAGTGAAGGGAAAGGAGTGAGTCTAGACGAGGTCATACTAAATGTTTTTCATTTCTTTAATGAAATCAATTCTTCTTCTTGAAAACTCAAGTCCATCTAATGAGACTACAGAGGACATAAGTGATGACGAGTACAATATATTGAAATGATATATATATATATATAGGTTTAACGTAGATTACTTAGTCCTTATATGTTTTAAAGGACCAGCCGAGTGAAGGAAGTTTGTGGCATACTGTTTCTGTCTGAAGTGTCTCTCTTTTGGTTCTTGAACGTAATGGTCCCATCCTTGACCTTTAGCAAAATTTATAGCAGCCTCCTTTGTATCAAAGCTCATTATAGTTCCTTGCATATAGTCAGACGAACTCTGGTATCCAATCAAGTCATTCTCCCATCTATTTCCCTTTCCTAAAACATCCCAATCTAATTTCCAATGATCACGGTTATGACGTCCTTGCTGAGTAGCTGATTTAGCTTCTTTATAGATTCTAACAACTCTTTCCGTAGCCATCTCCTTCGGAGCACCAGATACTATTTCTTTAGGGATTTGCGTAGGATCGTACACCTCGGGAACTTCTTTTCTCACCGCAACAGAGACTGATAAAGAGCGGAAACTGACTTGTCTCAATGGACTAATAATGCTTCTACTTAACATTTTAAGAATGATCTTTTAGTGAGTTTAAATGTTAATATTTATTCAATAGATCACAAAATCTCTAAGGATAACTTCAAATATTGGTACATTGATATTGGTTAAATTCTGGTTGGATAGAGCGCACAGAATTTAAATTTGGTAACCCGGATATTAAGAAGATATCTTTGTTAAGTCTAGGATCTCTCCATGATCAATTGCTTTCGAACATGAACAAACAGGTGAAACAGTCAGTCAAGGATGTCATACCGACATACAATGAAGAGTATCCTAGCCAGTTGTTGTCTTTGGTAGATTCCTTATATCTGTTAAGCTTACAGAAAAAGCCAACTTTACCAAAAAGGGCTGAAATTGCAAGATATCATATATGTGCATACGTGGCCATCGAGAAGTATCAAGGTATATATGACTTGCCAACGCCTGAAACATACAAGATCCCATTACAACCCAAAGTCATATATAAATTGCTCGATGAATTCAGAGAAAATCTACTAAGCGGAATGAAATCACCATCATCGACGCCAAAAAGTAAAAGGATATCGCCAATGCCTTCTGCGTACACAACTCCTGAATCGTCTCCATCCAAACTCAGAAAGATAACTTCACGTACAACTCCATTAGCCAGCTCCCCGTTAAAAAGATTGCAAGCTCTTCGCGACGATGAACCATCTTCAATTCAAGAGATTTCGACTTCAATATATGAAGAAAGCTCCCCTTTCAATCCGAAAGAGAGGGCCTCACCTGCACGCTCTTCCAAATCCGTATCTTCAACACCAACTAATTACAAATATGACAAAAAGCATATTACAGTTCCAGACTTCATTTCATTTGCTAACAATTTCTATATTCCATCGCCCATAACTGCTCAGATGATTGTTTCCTTTATGGAAAAAAAGCATAAGTTTTCCAAAAAGAGTGAGTGGCTTCTTGCATGTGGTATGATATATGCTGCTTATATCAGGATAAATCATCAGCTACTCGACAACAAATTAGGTGCGAATTCACAATTTCAAGACCAGTTGTTTCAATATCAAAAGGGTGGCCTCATGAAATGGAATATGTTGGCTTGGTGTAACATTATAGAAGACTCTGTAAAGCAAGAGAACTGGATTAGAGAGCTTGAGCATAAGTTTGTTTTCAGAAATTCTTCTAATGGTGATGAAAATCGAAACAAGGAGACGAAAGCAAGAATCGGTACAGAATTTGAAATCCTAGATAAATTAGGCAGTATGGTAAGCGGTGGCGTCTTATTTAATTCCGATAACCAAACATCCTACTATAGAAATTGGACGGCCAGAGTTGCATCTAATTTATAGACATTCTTAAGGCTCGTTACCCGCGTACCTCTGTTTGTGTAATATAGTTCGCTATAAAAATTTCAAGCCGCATCACTATTTTCTTCTCGATGATCTGGTTCATTATTTTAGTGATATTGAATAACTTTTGACAATATCCTTTGCATATAGAAACCTTTTTAAGTTCTAAACATCAACGTGGTTATTCAGTTCTCTGCATTAGTAGATTTCAAGTGATATTGATATCGTAATGTCAAATATTCCTATGAAGCGTCATTTATCTGGTTTTTCGCAGGACGATATTTCGAAACGAAGAACAGCTATTGTACCTGACGAACTGGAAAGTTATATTTCAGATGAATCAGATTTAATACAACCAATATTTGATGCCCCCATTAATGCAGCGAATAGTAACAGATGGCAAGAAACAGTCACCAAAGTTGTAAGATCGGTGGTTTCGATACAGTTCTCTCATGTGAGTAATTTCGATACGGAATCTGCAATTGTCAGTGAAGCTACTGGTTTTGTTGTTGATTCTGAGAGAGGCTTAGTTTTAACCAATAGGCATGTTGTCGGACCGGGCCCTTTTTGTGGTTATATTGTATTCGATAATCATGAAGAAGCAGTAGTGAAACCCATTTATCGAGATCCAGTTCATGACTTTGGGTTTTTGCAATTTGATCCTGCTTCTATTAAATATATGAGACTCACTCAATTAAATTTGAGACCTGACTTGGCTCAAATTGGAACAGAGATAAGAGTAGTTGGTAATGATGCGGGAGAGAAGCTTTCAATTTTAGCTGGATTTATTTCTAGGTTGGACAGAAACGCTCCCGAGTACGGTGCTTTAACTTACAATGATTTCAATACTGAATATATACAAGCTGCTGCTGCTGCATCTGGTGGATCCTCGGGGTCACCAGTCGTCAATGAAGATGGCTATGCGGTTGCTTTACAAGCGGGTGGGTCTACTGAAGCATCCACGGACTTTTTCTTACCTATATATCGACCCTTAAGGGCCCTTGAATGCATACAAAATGGACAGCCAATCACAAGAGGCGATATTCAAGTGGAATGGCTATTAAAACCCTTCGATGAGTGCAGAAGGTTAGGCTTAACGCCAGAAGCTGAAGCAAGTGCTAGAAAATTATTTCCAAACAAAATTGGCCTCTTGGTTGCGGAGCTCATTCTTCCAGAGGGTCCTGCGGATGGGTTTATAAAGGAAGGGGATACATTAATCTCTGTAAACGATAAGGCGATTGCTACATTTATCGAACTCGATGAAATTTTAGATCAAAATGTTGGCTCGAGTTTGAAGTTTGTCCTCCAAAGAGGAGGTGAGGAAATCGCACATTCTATCAAAGTTGGAGATTTACATGCTATAACTCCTGACAGATATGTTGACATAGCTGGTGCTTCATTTAATGATCTCTCTTACCAGATAGCAAGATGTTATTGTATCCCTGTTAAAGGAGTTTTTATTAATGATGCTTCGGGGTCTTTTGAGTTTTCAGCCTTTGAAAAAAATGGTTGGTTGTTGGAGACCGTAGATGACAAGCCAACTCCAGACTTGAGCACATTCATAGAAGTCATGAAAAATATTCCTGATCGACAGAAAGTGTCGATTACATATCGTCACGTCTCTGATTTGCACACAGAAAATGTTCATGTAATTTACATTGAGAGACATTGGCAGTCGACATTTCGATTGGCAGTAAGAAATGATAAAACCGGTATTTGGGATTTTATGGACATTCAAGATAAGCCTCTCCCTCCTAAGAAGTTACAACCACAAAATGCGAAGTATATTAACATTCCGGGGAACAATGGTTATTCTTCTTTGGTAAGATCATTTGTGCAAGTTAGGACTGTTGCTCCCATTCCAGTGGATTCCTTTCCCTACAGAAAGGAGATTGGTTATGGAGTAGTGATCGACTCAACAAATGGATATGTTATTGTTTCCAGAAGATTTGTTCCCCACGACATGTGTGACATCTTCGTCATATTTGCGGAGTCTGTTGATGTTCCTGCAAGCGTAGTGTTCTTACATCCCAACCAAAACTATGCAGTTTTGAAATATGATCCAAAATTAGTGTTAGCTGATGTCCAAACTCCAAAATTCAGTCACATTCCCTTAAGAAGAGGAGAGCAAGTTGATTTCGTAGGCTATAACTATAATTTGAGGTTAGTTACAGACAGCGTAAAAGTTAGCTCTGTTTCATCTTTGAACGTTCCTGCTGCGAGTCTTTCTCCTCGTTATCGTGGAACAAATTTGGAATGTATCTTGTTAGATAATAAGTTGTGCCAAGAGTGTGATGCAGGTGTATTAACAGATAATGATGGCACAATTAGATCATTTTGGCTCACCTTTCTAGGTGAAACCAACTGCGATCAGACAGGTGATAGAATGTACCGTATGGGATTAGATGTTACAGACGTCTTATATGTAATTGAATTATTAAAAGACAGAAAGGTACCGAACAATTTGAGGATATTGGATGCTGAATTTACATCTACTACTATATTACAAGGTAGAACTAGAGGTGTTCCCCAGCATTGGATTAATAAGTTTGAGGATGTTTGTGATGATGAGCTAAAATTCCTTTCTGTCGAGAGGGTTTCTGCCTCCAGGTTGAATCAACCACCAAATCCTTTAAGGACAGGTGACATAATTTTGTCTGTCAACGATTCTATTGTTAAAACAATGCGTGATCTTAGTGTAATGTATCAGAGTGAACAATTACTCTTCAAAGTTATAAGACAAAAAAAGGAGATAGACATAATGGTCCCAACAATTGATGCCAGTAGCATAAATACCTCACATGTAGTATTTTGGTGCGGTGCAATATTGCAAGCACCACATCACGGTGTGCGTCAGTTGATGGAAAAGATACCCTCAGAAGTATATGTTACGAGAAAGAGTGCTGGTGGTCCTGCGCATCAATATGGCATAACAACTAACAGCTTTATTACTCATGTAAATGATCAAGAGACAAAAACTATATTAGACTTCATCAAGGTCGTTAAAGATATCCCTGACGCGACATATTTAAAGCTCAGATTAGTCTCGTTTGACTTTATCCCTTTGGCTATTTCGCTTAAAACCAATTATCATTACTTCCCGACTTCTGAACTAAAAAAAACCCCAGAACTTGATAAGTGGATAGAAATAGAGCATGAGCATACCTAATAGCATACATATAAGAAATAAATCAAAATTATACGTCATATTTCTATTAAGTTTCAGTATATACAAGATCAATTATTATACGCTTTGTTAGAATGCATTCTCAAAATGTTCACAAGTATTTTTTAAGCTTTTTTAAATGACCACCCTTTGCAGTCACTGGTACAAATGAATTCAAATGGCGAAGTGAATTGAAACTGAAACCTCCATTACCGTGATTCCTTCCTACTTGTTTCCTTTTAAAGCCGTCGCCTGTTTTGATAAATCTTTTAGCGGCTGCTTTGTGACTTTTCATTTTGTTTCTAGTATGTATTAATATATTAACAGCCTGTCTCTTATATAGCACTTCTTTTGCCACATTTGGGAAAAACGAAGCAAGCATTATTATGTTATATGATCTTATTTTCTGTGTTAAATGAAAAGACCTGAATAAAATATCGTACACTTCGATAATTAAAATTTTAAGTAGACGACACACGACTTTCACAGTTAATACGCAAAAAAATACATATAAATTAACAGTGTCTTATATGAGGTAGCTTCTTCATTCCTCTCCACTAGAGGAATATTGATCTAGGAGGCTCAGCGAAGGGGCGTTTCTTAGAATATCAATGGAATGGTCATTTGATTCAGTTTTTTGTAAATGTTCTATTGGTTCTTTCAACTTTTTTTTATATTTTACCTCTGAGTTGACGAAGCGGGACGTGGGAGAAACTTTCTTTAATATTTTGTTTCTCGTTCTATTTGAGGAGAACGCAGACTTCTTAATTTTATTGGAAATACGCTCTTCTCTTAGTTTACGGAATTTTTCTACTTCGTGTCTCTCTTGTTGTCTCTTATTAAGTTCTCTTTCTCTTTCAACCCTATTCAATTCATTATAAAACTTCGCTGATTCTTCATCTAGCTTGTAAGAAGAATTCTGTGACTCTAGTTGTTGCTGATACTCAAGCTGCTTACGTTCTGCACCGTTAGTACTCGAATTTAATCACCATAGCGAAGTACGTACCTTTGTTTTCTTGTAATTGTTCATGTAACGATTTTCGCTCTTCGTTGTCGATGATGTGCTTCGGCAGCTCTACCTGTTCTGGGTGATTCACGTTAGATTTTAAATTAGCCTCATCACTGTTTTCAGAGACAAAATTAGGCATTTTATAATGATAAGATATATGAGAAAGTTTAGATACGAGATATTGGAAATATTATTTTAGTGCAAATATTCCTTCAAACAATCAAATTAGTAAATCTTTGAAATTGAATGAGTACATATCAAATTATGAAGGGATAAACTATACTCTATGTATCTAAATACATGATGTCAATCTAGAAAAGGTACTAACCAGACATTTCTTGAGCAAAATAACGAGGCTCATCAAAAACATGATATCTATGGCCACGAACCCCATCACCAAGGAACATGGAAGGCATTCTTAAGTCAGGTGAGATTTCTTCCTCTGGAACATGATGGTTGCCATACAATAAATCGAAGTCCATTTCTTCCCTTTCATTTTCGGTTAATAATTTGAACTTTGCAATTTGTAACTCTGTATCTGTAATTGTTGATCTTGAGATTCTAGCATATGCCACCTTTTTGACGTCCCGAAATAGAATATACTCGCACCATCTGTCCCAATCAGAACTGTCTATATCATGCATTCTTGATTCTTCACTAACGTAAGTATTATAGTTACCTTCTAAGGGGGTTGTGACGAGGTAGCTCAAAAGTATAAGAGGTCTTTCAGATTCTGCCATAATGTCACGTATCGCTAAACTCTGTAGACGGCGATCTTCCTCATCTTCCTCCTGGCCTGAATGGAAAACAACAACATCTATTAGTTCTCCATAGATATTCAAAGTGGCATGAATAGCAGGAGCGAGTTCGCCAACAGGTGATGGAAGTAAATGATGAGTCGAATTAATAATAGGAAACTTAGACAATAGGGCTGCACCCCAAGTATGTTTATTTGGCCCAGGGCCATAATCAACGTACATGCCTAAATCTTCCGCAATGCGCTGAGTAAAATCGCGATTGCCTCCTATTAATCTTTCAGTATCTGTTTCAAGAAGACCAATAATATCGACCTCTGCATCGCGTATTAGATCTCTCATTCGAATCTCGCTTGACCACATATCATTATCCAAACCAAAGTGTACACACCAGATGCCTGTGGTGAAAGAACCCGAATCTCTGTTATAAGGAATGGGCATAGAGTCAGGGTATCTTTTTATAAATGATGATAACGAAAGAGCTAAAAGCACCAGTAAAATCTTCAAGGCATGATTGAATACCACTTGAGTACCGTCATTGAGTCTCGTAATGTGAGAGCCTCTATGTCTCAAAACAAAGTTCAATACACCGCAATAAATCATACCTAACGCACCAAAGAACACAATATCACTTCTTTCCCTTAATAGCCATCCTCCAGGAACAAATGCGTATGCAACTGTCCAAACGCTTGCCAATGACATTATTATACTGAAAAGAAAACCCAAAAAGAACATTAAAGCTGGGTTGTAGTCAATGACAGACTGCAAGATTATTGGACACAATGAGGCCAAATAGAATGAGTATACAGTTGCTCCGATGTAGGCCAACCAATCCTTCAGTTCGAAAAGTATAAAAATGCTACCACCTCCAATTATTATATTATAAAACTTACTGCTTAACGTGCTTGGATGAAGCTTAATTGACAACAAGATACCTAGCCCAACAGTCGTAAAATGAATAAGAGCCCCCGTTAATGGAGTTGGTCCTTTTATGGGATACCCATCCCAGACCCAAAAAACTAAAGTAGAAGAGTCGCTCAATAAAGCATGCAAAGAGAAGAAATATCCACCGAGACCAAGTGCAGCTAACAAAATGGAGCCTCCAGATCTTTTACTCCGCAGCAAGTAATTAGTCAGAAGTTTGGGAGAGAAAAATGCACCACACAATCCAACAAAAATTCCAACATTATTGAAACCATCGTTTGGTCCATGCATTACCGGCCAGATTGGATTATTTGAATAGCAGGAAAACTTGAAAACGGAATTCGCAAATAGTCCAAGTATGAACGAAATTGAATAGGAATTAAGTTTCTTAGGTTTACCTGAATGCGCTGCAATTTCTGTGACTAGGCAAATAACCGAAAAACAATTGGCAGCACAAATTGCCATAAGTTTATGTTCTGGATCACTTGCTTTATATGCTCCTATACCTAAAATAACAGTGGCTGCACGTATAATAATTATTGTCTTACCAAAAAAAGCCCTTACTCCAGGTATGAATAAAATTAGTGGTGATAGGAACTGAGAGGTCACAACAGCCTCATAACCTGAAAGCCCCATATGCCATAACGGAAAATACCACACACAGAGAAATAAAGAAGACAATATTGTCCAAAACATAAATGAATTAATTATGTTCGCAACCATATCTAGAAAACTAAATTCATCTGTATCAACACTTTTATTGATTGAAGGCTCGATTTGTGATTTTGGAACATGGAGAAGCTCAATTTTGTCATAGGATATAGCAATCTGAATATCTGAAAAGTCGATTATTGACCATGAATCGAAACCTATATCTAAGATAATTAGTGCCCACTCAAAGTATGCATAAACAGAATAGGCACCGGCGCGAACATGAACTTTGTGCTGAATGAACCAATAGACTAAGGGAAAAAGCATCCCAAAAAATGCCAAGGAGGTATATTTTCTGCCTTTTCTTTGAATTGAATTCTTGTCTGACAATAGCGTGATGCAAATTGTCCAAGGTATGGTCAACACTATGTAGCTAATCATAAATATATCATGCCAGTCATGATCATCGGTTGACGTAATGTAGACCCACCCTCCACAAGTAAAAGTCCTTATCACACCAGATGTTATCGCTAAAAAAGGCACAATTGACCTCTCTCTATACAATCTGATGAAGTTGAAAAATAATAGCAAAAACCTCGGCCCTGAGGTCAATGCTATCAATATTTGGAAAACTGATCTCTCTGGATACCGATCTCCAATGGTAGCAGAAACACTAGGGAACCATTCGTCCGGATATCCAAAAGATGAGTTTTGAACAATTTTTTTATAATGTAATAAACAGCCAACGATCAATGCCAGCGCAAAAGCCGAGTATGCGCAAATACTATGTGCGTATGCAATGAGCTTGGCATTGAACTTCAATGATTGCCGCTCCGTAATACCTACATTCACTTTCAGGTCGCTATCTTCCTTAGACATATCAAAGTAAAGGTAAAGGTGTCAAACCTAAAGTTATGTGGTCCCTTAATAACGTTTAGTTTCTTCATAATAATGAAATTTCAAGAGAAAATAGTCATGTGATTTACATCACATGATTATTTCGTGACATTGCACAAAAACAAATAGAGAAACGCACGATCCAGTTAAAATTGTTCCTTTTATAAGTATCAAGATTCAGCGATTACGATCAATTTCACTGAAGGACAAGAATAGAAGTAAATACAAGGCAGGCGCAAAATGGGTAAGTACAACTATATGTGACTACTTTATGACTACCAATCAGGCTGTTAGAAGGAAGTAAATTTTACGCTTTAATTTAATGTTTTCTTTCTCAAGGTAATGGAGCTAAAAATACTAATTTATAATAGGTTTAGATAACTACGAAGGTCACAAAAGACCCGAGCTTGTATCATTTGATGACATTGACTACGAAAATTTCCCTGATGTCCAGAAGGCTAGGACATCTTTTATAAGGGAACAATGGATAAAAACATACTCATTGAGGATAACTCACGAGGCATTGAGAAAATGCAAGCAATATCATGGTGTAGATGCACAAAAGAACTGCAGACCATTAATCTTGAAATACATGAAGATGTTAGAGTCTTATCCCATGGAAGGTTACTTGGGATATCAAAAGAACGATCCTTCGAAGTGAATTAATACTTTTAAAACTTATTCGCTGACTCCAACTATAGAAGTTGACTTCGCTGTTTTCTGAGAGCCATTCACTTGAAGTGTTAAATTCTTAAATCTGTCGTCAGATTTTGCTGCATTATATCCTGTCTTAAATAATGTTTATACTAGTATTACGACTATCCTGTTTAAATATCTTTTGGGCAGGACTATTACATTGTCCTAATAAACTGAACATTCATTCGCCAAATATATATAGAATATATACGCTTCCAAAGAGCTTACTTCCTTCGATAGTTATAGAGTACCGTAGAGAAATAGGTGTTTATGTTATCACGTGAGTGAGTGTCTTTACCGAGTTTTGTGTTCAAGCCAATGAAATTATACCATTGAAAAATGAATCGGATTCCGAAGACAAAATTCACCGTTCTTTAGTAGAATCTATTTTCTTTACTGAAAACTCTTAAAGTAATTGCAATATGTTTCGTTTAGGTGCAATTCAAGCAACTCGTGCTTCCGGCGTAAGGTAAGTTTCTATAACAATTCTTCGATTTGAATGAGTTTCGAATGACAAGCTTTTAAAGAATATTTTGGTAATTGAATTGATACTTTTATGACGTTAATGAAATCTATAACTTAAATTTGAATTTCTAATGAACTCGAATAGTTACAATCGATTCAAATATATGTTAAACTTACTCTAAATCATATTATACAGATCTTAATGCTAACTTATACTTTAGAAATTATGCAACATTACGTGAAATTGAAACTCGTCTTAAGTCGATTAAAAATATCGAAAAGATCACGAACACCATGAAAATTGTGGCTTCTACCCGTTTGAACAAGGCCCAGAGAGCTATGGATGCTTCAAGGGTTTTTCACAAATCTGATTCTGACTTTTTTGCAAATGCTGAACCAGAGAAGCCTGAAACTGACAAAACATTATTGATTGTCGTCTCATCTGACAAAGGTTTATGTGGGTCCATTCACACTCAAATTTCTAAAGCAGCCAGAAAGAGGGCAGCTGAATTAAACGGTGCTGTAGACATTGTAACTATTGGTGAAAAGGTTAAGGCTCAATTGTCAAGAACTCATGCAGACAAGCTCAAGTTGGCATTCAATGGTATTGGTAAGGAGGCACCGAATTTTTTTGAGGTCTCGTTGATTGCCGATGAAATTCAAAAATTAGGAAAGTATGAAAACACTGAAATATTATATAATAAATTTGTATCTGGTGTTTCCTTTGAACCTTCGGAATTCTCCGTTTTTGCATCTGATGCAATTGAGAAAGCACCGGGTCTCTCTAAGTATGAATTAGAGTCCGAGGGCTTGCCAGACACCTTGTCAGAGTTTTCCTTGTCCAATTCTCTTCTTACAGCAATGGCAGAAGGATATGCTTCAGAGATTTCTGCTAGAAGGAATGCGATGGATAATGCATCGAAGAATGCTGGTGATATGATTAATTCCTACTCCATTTTATATAACAGAACTAGACAAGCCGTCATTACTAACGAATTGGTTGATATTATTACAGGTGCATCATCTTTGGATTGAACCCTTATTTAAACACTAAGTATACATCAAATCGCAAACCAAAATAAACGTCTTTTTCGTACGACAAAAATGCTACTGATTCCTCTGAATCAATTATTAATACAATTTCTAATAATACTGAGAAGATGGAGCCTAATCCTCTTTGACAAGTCCATAAATTCTCTTAATAAATAATAAGCCACAAATGATACTAACAGCTCCGCCACCTAATCCGACTACTATACATGCTAGAGCCATATAAGAGAAGTACAAAATTGTACTGACAGCATCTCTCACATGTAGATAACAAAGAAAATAATAAATGGAATATCCATATATGTAATATCCAATACTTGAACCAACTCTAAAGCAGAGCCAGTGCCATCTTGGGTTATTGTCAACGGCCAAACATAGGTACGCTGCTACCACTGCTGACTCACAAATTATTAGAAGCAAGATAATTGTTGTCAACAATAAAAATCCATACATGAAATAGAATGTAGTTTTCTCGAGCCACACCGTATTCAAGATAAACAAAAGCTCAACATAAACGACAACAAAAGGAATAAGTCCAAAAACAGCGATACTCCAAAAAGGACGCAATAAGATTGTTGTTCTCTTTTTCGATTTTTTGGGCTCTGATCGAGACTCACTTCTTGATGTAGTTAATAGAAATGATTTCGCGCCAAACTTTTTCTTATTTCCAAGACTACCTCCAATTATTCCTAAAGGTATTTCCACACCCAATAGAAATATAAGTACTATTATAGTTCCAAAAGGAAGAGCATTAGAAGACCTCTTTGCCCAGAGAAAGAAGTTTAAAAGTAAGGTAACAGACAAAACAAATGCTGGAAGGAAGCCACTGAAAAAGATGGAAAGTACTGCGCATTTTTTTGAATTATATTCCGAATTCAAGTACACGTTGTTGAATAATTTGTGAAGTATCAATCCAAAATAAGACGATAAGATGCCTGAGATAATCAAGTGGAACAACAGAAAAGAAAAAAGGGTTCCTTGGTGATTATTGAAGAATGAGATAGATGAGGAACCACCCAGACTAAACTTTGTGTTGATAACGAAAATAAGAAGTACACCGACTGCTGATACCAAGACTTGAATACCACTCGCAACTAAAATAGACATTATTGTCGAAAACAGGGGCCTATCAAAAACTCGCTCTAGTAATTCTTTCCATGAAAGGTTGCTATTCATATTATTAATAGGAAGTGGAGGAGTCGATCTTCGTATATCTTTCTTCAAAGATTTCATTAAGACCACAGCGACGATTAGTGAAACTAAGAAAAATAATACAAATGCATTTGTAATTGCAAACCAATGTATCTGCTGGTTTGGTTTGTTCATTTCGTTCTCATAGTAAAGATCCCATCGAGATTCATAATCAACTGATTTGTCTTCCCGCCAATACACCGCATAAGTATATGGAATGACTACTTTTTGATTAGTAAGATCGACATCTTTAGTCTTTTTAACCGTCAAAGGAAAATTTTTGTAGCTCTTGGAAGACCCAGGGCACTCTTCGTTGATAACACTTTTAGGGTATACTTCAAAACCAACGATTGTATTTAAATTTGAGTTAGACTTGTCTCTGTGATATCGTATCACTAACATGACGTGATTGTATATATAAGATATTTCATCTTTTACGAATCCCATAGGAAACCCTGCGGCATAGTACTTATTCTTACCCGATACAAAAGTTGTAGCTCCAGGCAAGCCATCTAATGACCAGTGCACAACGTAACCATTTTTTATCAAGGAGTCAGCCATTTTTAAAGATTTTCCCTTGACAATCAGGTCACATAACCTGACACAGGGTCTGTCGATCCCAAATTCTAGTTCATAGTTGCTGTTTAGATATCTTTCTCCTTTTAAAATTTCGCCAAAAGACAAATGCACACGTTTCTTTGCATCAGAATTCGGGCAAACGAAGGGTAAATCGTAGTATCCATAAGGTAATTGAGTATGATCACTTTCAATCTTGTTTACTAATAGATCGACTTTTTCCCCATGCCCATAGAACGTAGGTGAATATCCAAGATTGAATCCAAATGCTCCATCTAAAAAACCGACAAAAAGAATCAAGAGCACATACAACATATCTCAGACTTGCATTTACCGTATGTATTCCAGGAGTCCAAGTTCTACGGGAATTTACCGAAGATATGGAACGATCCCGATAGAAAATAACAAATAAAGTTGATAGATCAATCCTTTGGCTGTAGATAATATTATAATCGCACGCGAAAAATTACTAAAATTCAGAAGTTACTATATTAACTAAAGTACATATCGAGGTTATTCGATTATTTCTCTTTCAAAGATTCCATCGCTTCCCTTATCAAATAGTTTCCTTTAGGATCAAGATTCAACGCAATGGTGAACTCTCTTATGGCTTGGTACTTATCGTTTTGAATATTATACAATTGACCAAGTAAGAAATGCACGGAAGCTTCATCAGGTGCCAAATCTTTTAAGATCTCGAAGTATTTAAGAGCTTGGGGAAATTTCTGCATTGAGAACAATAATTGGGCTTTCTTGAACATGGGTAGGGGGTTCAAAGGCTGTAACTTATTAGCTAACTCATATTGCCTTAAAGCCATGTTTTTCTTACCTAGCTTTTCTAGAACCATACCAGCACAACATATTAAAATTATGTTTATAGGATTTATGGAGACAGCTTTTCGGAAATGATAGTCGGCTTTTTGATAGTCTCCTAAATTAATATACACCATTCCTATGCCGTACAATGCATTATAATGCCTTGAATCTATCAAAAGACTAATACGAAAGCTTTCCAAGGCCATTTCATAATTATCACAACCGAAGTATTCGTGCCCTCTTAACGTGTAAGCATATGTAAAATTCTCACCAATCTTAATAGATTTATTGAAACATTTGATAGCTTCATCTGGTTCTCGTATTAAAGAAAAAAGGTTTCCTATTGCACACCAAGTTATTGGTGAATTGGCATCTAAATCATGAAGCTCATTCGCTAAATACGTTAGTTCGACCTTTTTATGTAGTTGCCAAAGTAACGTGGAATAGTATTCCATGTCCTGTAATCTAGTCCTATCTAGTTTACGTAACTGGACAAAATAATATTCTGACTGTTTGTAGTTGACGATTTCATAATGTAGCCTTCCCAAGCTACTGAGGACCCACGGAGTGTCCTTTTCTGAGACAGGTAATGCCTCTAATATTCGGATAGCCTTGAAGCAGTCATACTTACTCAAGCACTTGTACGCTTTCGCAAAAATTAAATACAACAGGATGAGAGCCCTGTCGCTGCATTCTATATCTTTACTTGCCATAATGCTCATCGACATATTATGCTTATCATTATTGCTTGTGGGAACAAATGAGCTTGAACTATTTCTCTTCAAGCCAGATCGCATCACAGGCTTTTGGTTATTATTACTGCCGCTTATGTTGTTTATAGAATCACTTCCTTTATTAGAGTTAGGCTGAGAAATCAATCTTGATGTGATTTTTGAATATGTGCTTTCGCGTCGCAAGCTCTTATCCAAGGAATCATTAGGCTTGCTAAACTCAGTAGACTTCCCACTGAATGTGTTAGTATTTGATCTCCTTAAAGGTGCATCCGGGATGGAGACAGGTTTTAATCTGGGAGTAGCCAAGGAAGTATTAAAAGTATCATCGGGATGTAACAAGTCATTAGTTGCATTATTGGCGAAAGGATTAGATAACAGGTACAAATCAGAAGACTGTTTGAATTTCAGAGCCTCGCTTTCAAAATTTGAGTTATTATTGTCATTGCAGAATTTATACAATGCTTTCACTTTAACATTAACCCCTAATTTGCACAACTCCTGAAAAGCTTCAAAGTTAAATGGATTTAGTTTAAGCGATAACGAGTAATTTAATGAACTATTTTTCACATCCCCTATTCCCTTATATAATTCGCCCAAGGTATGGTATATTGTTGAAGAGTCTGGATACACTGATCTTGAGTGTTCGTAATTATACCTTTGTTGCGGTGTCACAAACGCAGTCGAATTAGGAGACAGTCCTAACGCAGAGTCACTGAAAAGATGGCTCACCTTCAATAGCTGATATATTCCCTCTTTATATCTTTTCAAATGTAAACAACATCTCGCAAACAAAAAGGAGCAACCAATGTGATTGACTGATAACAGTCTCACGAGTCGATTATGACATGATTTGAATTTATCCTGTCTAAATAAAGTCAACGAGTACAAATATATTGAGTCCAAGTCATCGTTATCGATAGCTAACAATCTCTCACCAGCAAATTCGGCATTCTTATAATTGAAATTATCTAATGAATGTATTATGATGGATCGCAAATATTGTTGATTCGTTTTCGAATCCACCTCTTCCATTTTTGGGTTAATCGATCTCAGCAATATACCTAAGATGTGTAACACGAATTGATAAGCTTTTGTCCCGTTTGATTAATCGTTATGTTGGAGGCTAGTATTGAAATATAATCGTACAGTGTACAAACATAAACACTTAGAGTAATGATAGTGCACTGCACAGAGAATTTCTTACAGATCGACAAAATTAGCAGTACATATATTCAATATTGATTATTAAAGAGGCAAACGAAGCAGTCGATTAAGGAAGAAATTGAATCTTTATGAAATTCAAAGCAATTAACACTCTTCCAGGCTTTCCTCTATTTTAAAATTTCCTCTCCATTTCTATTTCCCTTTTTATTCGTGAAGTTTTCTTTTTTCGTAAACCAAATCACTTGCCAAAAATGCAAGTAAATTACTCATATAAGGACATTAATTTCATTATTTATTGCTACTTTTTAGCTTTGATCACAAAAGTATGGTTTCCCGAGCCATCATTTGAATAAGCTAACATTTTTTCAGCTTGTTTCTTTTTTCCTCCGCTTAGAACTCTTCCTGCGTGATTCGAGAAGACGGATCGAGGAGATTTGGAGTCGATTGATGGAGGTGTTTCTCCTGGAGCTTCAAGATTTGTCCTCAGGTTTGTCCTAGGTGTGCCACCAGGAGAAAACGTTCCATTACTTTGAGCAGATCGTGGAGACAAGAGACCCGACGCCAACAAATATGGGGAAGCAAATCCAGCTTGGGACGAGATCTGAGGGGTGGTGGGAGCCTTGTAAGCCTTACTCGAGGTATCAACCGATAGCTTGGGTTGCTGTTGTAGTTGATTTTGATTTTGATTTTGATAAGGAGACTGTTGTTGATTCTGTGAATGTTGATTGGCTGAAGACACTGTCGTATCATCTATTGAATCAATATTAGGTGACATTGTCGAATCTACCGACGTTTGTCCATCATTCGATTCATTAGAATAATGATTATACGGATATCCTCCATCAAAACTATCTCTTAAAAAGCCTCTTGCTCTAAGCTCCTCGTCTTTTGATTTCGTTTCTTCTCTGGCTCTTGCTAGCATCTCTTGAGCTTTATTTAAGCTGACAGTTGGCGTTGAACAGCTACTCACAACAGGTATTGAATCATCGATATCTATAGTTGCAGTCATAAGAGCCTTAAGCCATCCCCTCATTTCTTCCTTTGTTTCAACAGCAAAATAATGAGTTTTAGGCTGAGTAAATGTAAGACCTTTCTTAAATCCTGGGGCAGGAGGAAGTAACTTGAAGCAGTATCTACCAAAACCAGTAGAGGATGCATACAACGCAATATATTTGTCATTGGAGTTTACATCATTCTCAGTATTAACTGGTATTACCTTATGTGCCGTTATATCAATTAGCCCTTTCTCACGTTTGTCCCTCAATGAAGTGAAGTACGACAATCTTGTCCCATGTAAAGTGAAATATCTTGAACGCCATCCTAAAGTGCTTCCTGACTTTTTAGCCATCCAGCCACTAAAGCTTGCAGATTTAATTGCTTCGTCAGGGTTAATTTCACGAATTCCTTCTTGAAATGCCAGGGTTTTCAGCTTTTTGGATGTTGTTAAGTTTTTAAAATTTTGGCTCGATGTTGTCCTCAAGTTCTTAAAGCGTGAGACAGCGGTAGAATCCGATGCCGATCTCTTTTCATCTTTGCTATCTCCATTTGGAAGTTTTGCCTCGCTTAATTTGTAAGATATTGATTTCAGTTTCTTTGGAGATGGAGTACTCTCGACGTTTGAGTCGACTTCAACAAAGTCTAGAGGAGTATCCTTTTTTCTCGTTATCACAAGACTTTCTCTCTTCGATTTCGTTGGAGAGTTTGAGGAATCACTGTGCTTGTCAAGAAGCCCACCTTTAGATTGTTTTGGATTTTCCACAGTAGAATCTTCGTTTCCCGAAATAAACAGAAATAAGGAGGATCGTCTCTTATGACCTGAAATTACAGAAGCATTTCTATTGTGTCGATTAACTTCTTTACCGTTTGAGGCTTGGCTCATATTTCTATTGTGGCTCATCAAGGATTGTTCATAGACTGAAGATGAAGGTCTACTAACGGTTCCAGTGGTAGCTTTTCCGGCAGAGCTTGGGAATTCACGAGAGCCATTTGTTTTGCTCAGATAAAGCCCATCGTATCCATTATTATTTTGCGATGATAAGTCTTCGGGCAATTTTTGCTCAGTAGAGTTGGTGAATTTTTTGGACAACGAATGTTTATCGATGTTCGAAGTCTCATTTTTTGAATCATAAACTGCCAAGTCATCGAACGATTGGCTCCTCTTTCTTTGGTGATTGTACAAATAGCTTGGTTCTCGAACTTCAGCAGAAGGTAACAACTGACCCTGTGAGGCAGAGTGTGCATTATTGTAGTCATCAACACTATAGTTTTCATCAATAAGTTTATTTTTTTGAGGTGAGCTAGTTTTGGATCCTAAAGGACTCACGAATTCATCATCTGATGCTTCAGAAGGCATAATTTGACTTTGATTTTTAGATGCCTTCTTCGACTTCATTCTTGATGAAACCTCTCTTAATTTCTCAATCTCCTTGTAAACTTCGAATCTCGTCCCAAACGAATCGAAATCTAATTCCTTTAAGTAAGTCAAATCTAGTTCCAACAAAATAGTACCTGTAATTTTATGTTTGGCGAACTTATCAGCGACACTCAAATCAAATCCTAAAACAAGAGCAAAATAGGAGTAGACTTGTTTAGGTGTCCACTCTGCCACATGCAAAGGATTTATATCATCTGTTAATGATTGGGCAGATGGGTTCTTTTGGTGCCGCGCATTTGTGCCCGCTTTTCCAATATGTCCGCCGGCATTGTTGGAAAGATTTGTTGCACCTTGGAGTTCAAGAAGAGCTTGATCTATGTCACTCATAGTCTTATTAACTTGCTTGCTTGCTGAAGGTTTATTTTCTTTTGTATCTAGTTTTTCAAAAGACTCGGAGAGTTTGTTGACGTTTGTAGGTGTTTGAGGAGAGCTACCATTCTTTTTACTGACTCTTCTGGATCTTGATCTTAAAAGAGAGGCCCCGGCTATTTGATTTTGTATAAGTTGGGTAAAAGATTTCGGATATAGGCCGACCTCTTGACTCACTATATTCCTCCCCATATACCATCCGTCATTATATTCGCTGTCATCTGCTAATACCTCTACCTTATCGCCAGGCTTAAGATTCAATTCATCACCTAATCTCGCGTTGAATTGCTTAATACACAAATATAGGTCTCCCGTCGTTGTATTTATTGACATCTTGTTCAGTATAACCTCCTTTATTAGGTTAAGGAGTAATTCAAAAAGTTTCTAGCGTCTGGATATAAACTTTTTCACTATAACTCGAGAATATGAAATAAAATTAGGATCTATCGTATCCGTTGTAAATAGCTTTGACACCAAAATAAAATTTGTTATATCTATGGCTTTAGACCTGCTATTCCCCTACCTTTCTGATAACGTAAAAAGCACGCTTATTTAAAAAGATCGTTTGATTACTATATTAAATACCTTGTTTCGTGGCGACGTTTCCTTCCACTGTTATTGAACGGCTAAAAGTTTATGTTCTGTTTTTTTTTTTTTTTTTGAGTTAGATTTAGGATGAGAATGTGATTATGTAATCAACGACTTTCTTTTATTATCATACTAGCTTATGGAAAGAACTGTGTAGAGGAAGTGTGGGTAGATTGTTACAGCTATAGGAGGAATTTAAGTGCAACAAAAAAGAAAACAGCATAACTTCGAATAAACTCCACGAATCGAAATATCCATAAAAGTGTTGATAATTAGTGAACGTTTGGCAAATTAAAATAAACGTATTCTTTCCTTAGTTTATTTGTTATCAGATAATGCCACCCCCATCATCTCCTACTAATGACATTTCGCATGATTGGGAAATCTTAAACTCTTCAACATCAGACAGTTCATCCGATAATGAAAACATAAGAAGAAATTCGGAAGATACCAGAGGTACAAGATTGCATGCTCTTAATTTATTATCTGACTTCATCTTGAGGGCCGGAACCAATGAAAATACTTACCGAGATGACTGGACGAACAGGTACAGTACAGTGAATGATGGTGAATTGCGTATTAATGAGATACCTATAGAAATAAGGAATGTGAATTTCGATGGTAGAAGACTGGGTATAAGTAACTCAGCTGGTGGTGACGACGGTGATGATGATGATGAGCATGATTATCAATACATAGATGAAGATAATGATGATGATGATGATGATGATGATGATGATGATGATGATGATGATGATGATGATGATGATGATGATAATAATATTGATCCAGAAATTAATGATAATGATACTGACGAGGCTGATGTTAGGTCTGATATAGAATCTAACGAGATCTTATTGTTGTCCTCTGCTCGTCAAAATTATACTAACACGAATACTTTGATTAGTTCTAATGGAGAACGAAATACGGGAGGCATTCCTTTACGTCGTCAGAATGCCATAAGGTTGCGCTCGAGGAACTCACATGCTGAAAGAAGCGATCTTTCTTTGAGAATAAAACTTGCTAAGGAAGCTAAAATAATACATGAAGATATTCGAGGGCTACTAAATGCAGTGCTTTCAAACGCAGATTGTCCTGGTGTATCAACCATCTTCTCACAACATAGCATTCTCCATGAACATTGTGGGCGGTTAGACAAGGAGCCAAACGAGAACATTTTTTCAAGTCTAGATCTAGTTATGGATAGGTTCTTAAGCAGAAGAAAATCTGGACAGCTTTGGTGCCCTAGCAAGTCTTTATCAGAAGAGAAGGTTCGAACTCTTCATAAAAGAAAAGGATCTTTTTCTAGCAATAGACAATATAAAAGGCTTAAAACAAGAGCCTCCAAAGATAAAGAGATACCTACTTTTGGTTACAATACTTCAAAACGGGTACATAAAGTCAATTCAAGACCCTTGTCTTATAGCGAAAAGAATGGAATCATGGATGTAATGTTTAGCTCGCTTTTAAAGGAAGGATCAACATTCAATCTACATAATCTTGATGGTACGTCGAATGATCTTGATTTAATTTTCACGTCCGTTGATTATCTGGAAAAAATGCTCGAAGGCATGTTTTCTTTATCATCATCAAGTAATAGCCCTGCTGACCAGTATTACTTCGTAAGCAAGAAATTACAGCAATTAAAACAGTTCTTCATTGGAACTGATATTGCTGCGGATCGTTCAATTCGAAACAAACTATTATCAAAGAAGATAAAGCTCTTGGATTTTTTAAATAATGATCTCACCTTAGATACATTCGTTTTCAGCAAGGGTCACAAGGGATTGGAGCCTTTCACGATTCCGTTTAGTGGTAAAATAGTTGATTTCAAAAATTCTGATTTGAGGTTTCTTTCGCCAATTAATATGCCATCAAACATAAGAATAAGATCTCTCCATTTAGCGAGAACAAAGTCGGCCAGGGTTAGGCTTCAATTGTCAGAATGGATGCGAATTCAGCCATTTAAACTGTTTAGAGAGACTTATTTCATTCAAAGATTGTATAAGCTCGAAGACAATTTAAAATCCCTAACAAAGTCAAACTTAGCTCATAGCTTGACTCAGGAGCATCTTGAAATGGCAAAGGGGCTAAAATTAAATGCCTTTGACTTGACTAAAGATTTTCATTTCATCAAGAACAGAAAGTTCCCTATACCATTTATCGAAAATGAGCAAATAAAGAGGGAATTCGCCGTCAGTGGTTTTAAATCAAATTTTTTCCTCCAAGATTGGCAAAGAGCTCTTAGCGATAAGTTGACTGAGTTTGTTACTTGTCAAGATAATTGCTTGCTAAATGTGCAACTCAACTATATTTTATTTACTTTGACTGTCGACTTGAACACCTTGGCCGACAGACTTATCAAATATGTTTTGAAATTTTGTTCACAAAAATTGGTTGAAAAGTATGAAAGCATCATGAATAATTACTCTAATAAGGGAACAGGCGAAGAGTCGGAGAGAGCGATCATGTTATGCTCATTAAACAGAAAATCCGGAAAGATTGAAGTGCAAAATACAAGGGCGTTTCTCAATTATAAGAATATTTATCAATCCGATTTGCACGTAACCAGAAGTTCTCATAATCAATCAAGTTTATTCCCAGGAACAAACCAAGGATCAGATCACAGCCAAACAATTGACTTCGAAGGCTTATTTTCGTCCGATGATAGCGATACTGACGATGGCTTAAATTTACATACTAGATGCGAGAATCCATACAACGCAGATATAGTTACCACCTTAGAAGGCTCTATTAAAAGAAATGCAGAAAATTCATCGCTTGGGGGAGGAAATCCTAGCTATTCTCTAGTATAGTTTTACGATGTTTGTCATGAACCTAGTTTGCGTAGATTTATAAATATATACACGGATCTCACCAAAATCCCCATCCTCCCTTTCCTTCTCTCCTATCTTTCTTCCTATTCTTGAAAAAGTCTTTCGTACATTCTCTATATGCATCAAAGAATTCTTGACACACTAATTTATCTTCTTGATTTCTCAATAAGCAACTAATTGAAGCTTGCCTACTTTCTTCACATGGGTCATAATACTTCGAGGGTTCTTTCATAGTCCACCTGTATTTATGCCTATGGTTCTTGGGATTATCAGGGTAGAACTTAAATTCATCGACGCCTCCTTTAGTAAAATCTACTTTTTCTTTGTCAGTTATAACATGATCTGAGTCTACCAGTGATTCTTCATGCCTTTTGCCGTCATTAGGCGTGTTATATTCTGTTTTTGATAGTTTATCATCTGACATGGTTGTGCTGAGAGGTTTCATTACATTTAAAAAGCTGGCTGGCCACCAAATAAAACCGGTTGTGCATGCGAAATGAGAAGACCTAGATGATCTGAAAATAGAAATTAAATTTAATGAAAACTGCTTGAAAAGTAACTTCATAATGACATCTCAATCAGTTGTGTTTTTAGAAAATCAAGATGTCAAGTCTTGTCTGAGATGTAAAGAATTAATGGCCGTCATATTAACTAGGAATGAAAAATTTTGCAAGCAATGTTATCTTAGATTTGTAAGAGGAAAACAGAGAAAGCAGATGCAAGACGAGAGTTACAAGGTAAAATATAGCGAAGCGTTAAAAAGAGTGGGCATGCAGAAAGTTCTTCTTCCTTGGTCTGGTGGAATGTCTTCTTTGGTTTTGGTGGATGTCATAGGAACATTATTACAAGAACAGCGCGAAGCACACAATGGAAGACAAGGCTTTGAATTGATGATCTTACATATAGAAGAAGAAGAAAGCGACAGTTTGAAAAAGAATGTGAGGTTTGCTTTGAGTGAACTAGTTCACAAGTATAATCCTGTTCAAATCAAATTTAAAATTTTGTCGCTCAATTCATTAGCAATAGATCCATCCCTAATCAAAAAAATTGAAATAAATAATAGCTTCGAGGGACTATGTCGGCCTATTAATTTGAAAGAGGGGATAACTGTCAAGGAATTATTGAGCTCATGTGCTGATAGGTCATCAAGTGAAGATTTACTTAATATAATTCGTGACGATATAATCATAAGAACTGCTCATTTGGAAGACTGCAAAACTATATTGTATGGACATAGTATGACCAGGATCGCAAATGAAGTCATTTCTTTGACAGTTAAAGGTAGGGGCGCGTCAATTCATAAAAGCGTATCTGACCATGCAACTAATTACAAGGAGAAATCATTTAATATTATCTACCCATTAAGAGAAGTGCTATTAGTCGAAGTTGCTGCTTACTTGGAGATTGCATCTTTAAAAAGTTTTGTCATCGAGTCGACGAGTCCAAGGTCAAAAATTACAAAAAATATGACAGTCAGAGATTTAGTAACCCAATACTTCACTCATCTAGATGAAACAGGATATGCATCAACTGCATCGACGGTAGTGAAAACGGGTGAGAAATTGGGTGAGCCTAAGTTCGAACTGATTCTGTCTAACTGCCAGGTATGCGGCGTGAATATTCATCAAGATCCAAAGAAATGGCTAAGCGACATTACTGTTACCGAGCCTGCAGCACTAGTCGATGATGAGCAACGCAAATATGCTGATATGGTTAGTAGTAAAGCAAACGAAGTTATTTCTAATGACCTGGAAACACCTATAAACCTTTGTTACGGTTGTACCATTACAATAGCAATGCTGAGTAAGAATCGCGAAGTCCTTTGGCCTATTACGGATTCTGGAAACGATCAATCTATATTAGACATGTATATTTTAGATGATCTGCTGTAAATAAATTATGGACAATTTGGTTTTCAATGTTAGTAAATATTTGTGGAGGGAAGCATTAATTTGCGAAAAACTTGGTAAATTTTATGCTTGAAAGCAAGAATTAAATAATTGTAAAATAGAAACTTTAAAGACTCAAAAAGACAATACATTACGCTTACGAAACTTTACTACTGTGAGTTAAGCTTATTTTTGTATATTAGTAGCAAAAGATCCATATTCATATCTGATAGACAAAACCTTGGAGAATTTGCTGCAAATATCAGGCTGGGGATTTCAGAATAATTCGCGACGCAGAAAACAATTCGGATAGTTTTTAGCTCTATTTTATTTACCATTCGATTCAAAAAGAATATTCAGTATACAATTTGAGCGATGTATGCTCCAAAACTATTTGTTGACGATCTCTTTATGTTATGGAATAACGATGGAGAATCAAACTTACTTAGTCCAATGAGCAATAATAGAAAGGACCATCAAAATGAATATGTGGAAGACCAAAAGCGACATACCAAGCAACTATATGCGCCACCATTGATAGCTTACCTGGCGGATCGATCAGGGGCAAGCATATCACAATTAGACTATACCATTCAAACAGGTGTCAAGTCGAATGTGTCATTGCTTACTCCTTTGATAAAGGAGAAACTGGACCAATTGCATATGACTAGAAATTTTGGCTATTCAACTATCAGGCCAGTAGGTATCGGAAAGACGATGGAGCAATTACAGATTGAACAAAATAAACGAATAAATAGCAAAAAGCAGTCGGAAGAACTCTCATTTGCTGCAACAGTGGAGAACACAAGTGGGATAGCGCCAGATAGCTCCTTAAATGAAGAGACGAACAATATTAGTCGTATAGAGACAATAATTATGCCAAATCGGAGTAACGATGTGGATCTAGATGCCCAAATCCCTGACGCAGATGGCATAGATAGCGAAGTGCGAGATGACGATGACTTTGATTTAGATCTGGAGGAAGGGTCAATAGGAATTGATTTTGAAAATGGGATAGATGAAGATGAAGGGTTTATGGCAGAAGAAGTCGAGTATCAAGACGATCACAGCTTGAATACGGAAATGAATTATAGTGCAAACGTGCTAATTAATTCAGGGTCAACTGGTGTAACAATTCCTGTAACAAGTAATTCCCTTGGCGCAAGAAGTACGGTAACAAATGCTACTTCTGCAAATACTCGAGGAAGTACAGAGTTTCCTAATGGTGGTAATCATTATTCAGTATCTCAGGTACAATTCTCGTCTGATGATTTGGGAGATGATGAAAATGCAAATCTTGACATGATAATTGATACTAATTAACTTCTATATATGTGTACGCTATCAATAACCTTTGGTATTTTGCGGCGATATTTTAATCTTATCAACTTTAGATGCATGTAAATGTATCGCTGGCGTCATCCAACGACCACACGAGCACCTCGATCCTCTCCAGCTATACGCACCAACTTTACAATTACATTTAGGACACATTAGCTTACCTTCTATTTCTCCTTTTCCTTGAATTTCTTCCTTCATCCAACTTAAAGGCTCATTCAAAAAAAAATGTGAGCACAGCTGGGACGCCGTAACTGAAGAAATAACTCTCTTTGAGTTAGGGGCAGTCTTTACAAACAGCGATTGGTCGGAAGAGGAATCAGGCGGCTCATGAGACTCTATTTGCGAACCAAGAGCAAGTACTTGCCTGCATTTTCTGCATCTAAGATTTGATTCCTCAGGTCTGCAAATTCTTTCCAGCGTAGCATATATGTCCTGATTTCTTAAGTTATTACCAGATGGATCTAACGCTAAAGAGTTGGATACCAAAAATTTTCTGTAAGAAGAATCACTTTTGTCAACTCTGCATCCCATTTCTTCAAAAAGTTTCAACTGCGTGACAAAACCTTCGTTTGGTTCAGCTGCGCTATGTTTTCTTTTCACAGCATATGAAGCTTGGTCGTAACTGAGGTTATACTTAAACATCAAATAAGCTATCACGAAAGCGACTGATCTAGAGATTCCCTGCGAGCAATGAACTAGTATTGCTCCCTTATGCGCTTTCGTATTGCTGATTGATTCATTAGGAAATAATGCTGCGTCTATGAAGTTATTGGTATCAGGGAAGAGATCTATTATGTTAGTAGTCGTTTCATCCGTTATCTCTAATTGCTTGTGAACGTAGTTGTTGATGTATTGGTCAGGGAGAGATCCTGGAAGTAAAGCAAGTATATGTGAGATATTGTGCTGTTTCTTGAAGTCGACACCATGGTTGATGTCTTCAATAGAGGAAATGTAGATACCTCCTAGCACATTTATCATTCTCACTTATGCTCTTCTATTCAGAAATGCGATGACATAAAAAAATGCGGCTCTTGTGGGCCCCACTGGCGATGTCGAAAAATGTCCCGGACTTAGCTTCATACACTAGCCACTAAGTTAGTACATCTACTCCACAATATGGATCCCGCGGGGCTAGTCTGTAAACGTCCCGGTCAATTACTTGTCGTATACAGCGATAGATACTACATCAATACAAAATATTTTTTCTGCTTCTTGCGTGAGTTTCAATGCAACGGTAACTCATCTTTCTCAGTATACATCCAACACATTATATTTCTGTTCATATTAACTGGGAACTAAAGAATATCCTTGAAAGAGAGCTGAGACTTGCCTCCGAGCATATCCGCAGTTAAACATATATGACTTCTTTCATCATACTGTCTTCTCAAAGCATAACACAATAGTATCCAATAAGAGAATTGAAATGGGCAAATAGAGATGTACTGTCGATCGGCCCCTTTTGTCGGCCAATATACACGTCACCCGCATTTGCTTGGAATATGCCGCTTTCCAAGTTCAAATTCGGGCGCCGACCGAAATCGCTCCTGGACTCCGAAATCTGGGGTTGTGGCCCAAGTCGAACTGAGCAACCCAGAAGGCTTTTTACCGAGAAATAGCGCTGCAACCGTGTAGAGCCGTGATCCGCTAATCCATCTTGAAGTACTAGCTTCAGTTCATAAACATTAATTATATACTATGTATATTAATGCTATGTCATAGCTAGGTTTGGAGATCAGCCTGGGGTAGTAGATAGTAGCTGCGAGTTCAGTATTGATCTGTCTACATATATCGCTACCCGCAAAGACAAGAACTCCCCCCACAAATGGCCCAGTGTAATGGCTGTTAGTTAACTACGACGTATGATGCATTCTAACAAACTATTCGTCACATCTAAGCTCCGGGGAGTTCAAACTATCCAATGGCCACGGTATCCACACTACAATATACATCGCATCTATAGTATGATCTTTCATTCCGGACCGCAACCCGAGAAGTTGATTGGCCGATGGCTAACACATTGTTACCCGCAGTTGAATGCCAGTCATGCCGGCCGGTTGAATATTTAAATATCCTTGTACTTCCATACTAGAAGGTTAATTTTCGTTCAATCGTCTGATATATCAATATACGATTGTTAGAATTAATAAGAAGTCGATTTTAAAAGATGTCTATCCGTTCAGTTCAACGTTCCGCTACTGTTGCAAAGCGTGCATTGGGAGGTGTTCGTACTTATGCTTCAGCTGAGCCAGTAAGTAATTCATTCACAGAAAGGACCTTTGTCCGAGAGTGCCGTCTGGTATCAATTGAGTATCGCTTGGTAAACTAACACACAACAGACACTTAAAGCCCGTTTGGCAGATATTTTGCCAGAAAAGGCAGAGCAAGTCAAGCAATTAAAAAAAGAATATGGTAAAACCGTAAGTATTGGAGCTCACTAAGAATTTTGTGATACTTCTGAGTTTATCTGATCAAACTCATTAAATTAATGTACTATGATGAAGCGAAATGGCTGTTAATCTATTCGCCAATTGGCCAATTCGCCAATTCGCGAGCAGTTAATTTATGGGGATCGTTTTTTTGAAAAGTTTCACAAAAACCCCGGATGTCATGGAAACAGTACTAACAATTTTAGGTTATTGGTGAGGTGTTATTAGAACAAGCCTATGGTGGTATGCGTGGTATCAAGGGTCTCGTATGGGAAGGCTCAGTTTTGGACCCTATCGAAGGTATTAGGTTCAGAGGTAGAACTATTCCAGATATTCAAAAGGAATTACCTAAGGCAGAAGGCGGTGAAGAACCATTGCCAGAAGCTTTATTCTGGTTATTGTTAACTGGTGAGGTTCCATCTGTTGCTCAGACTAAGGCTTTCTCGGAAGAGTTGGCTGCAAGATCTGCTTTACCAAAACATGTTGAGGAATTGATTGACAGGTCCCCATCCCACTTACATCCTATGGCTCAATTTTCTATTGCAGTCACTGCTTTGGAATCCGAATCTCAATTCGCCAAAGCTTACGCTAAGGGTGTCAATAAGAAGGAATACTGGAAGTACACTTACGAAGATTCCATTGACTTGTTAGCTAAGTTGCCAAATATCGCTGCTAGAATTTACAGAAACGTTTTTAAGGATGGTAAATTGAGTGCTGTTGATCCAAAATTAGATTACGGTGCTAACTTAGCCCACTTATTGGGTTACGGTGAGAACAAGGAATTCCTTGAATTGATCAGATTGTATTTGACCATCCATTCTGATCACGAAGGTGGTAATGTCTCAGCTCACACTACTCATTTAGTTGGTTCTGCTTTATCTTCTCCATTCTTATCTTTGGCTGCAGGTTTGAATGGTTTGGCTGGACCTTTGCACGGTCGTGCTAACCAGGAAGTTTTGGAATGGTTATTCAAGATGAGAGATGAATTACATGGTGATTATTCTAAGGAGAACATTGAAAAGTACTTATGGGAAACACTTAATGCTGGACGTGTGGTTCCAGGTTACGGACATGCCGTGTTGAGAAAGACTGATCCTCGTTACACCGCTCAAAGAGAGTTTGCTTTGAAACACATGCCAAACTACGAATTGTTCAAGTTGGTTTCCAACATTTATGAAGTCGCTCCTGGTGTTTTGACTAAGCACGGTAAGACCAAGAACCCATGGCCAAATGTGGATTCCCACTCTGGTGTCTTGTTACAATACTACGGCTTGACTGAGCAATCATTTTACACTGTTTTGTTTGGTGTTGCTAGAGCTTTTGGTGTCTTGCCTCAATTGATCTTGGACCGTGGTCTTGGTATGCCAATTGAGAGACCAAAGTCATTCTCTACCGACAAGTACATTGAATTGGTCAAGAGCATCAAGTCTTAAGCTTGCAAATAAGAATTAGAGGTAAAAATTATCTTTTAGAAAGTTTCAAGTTTTTATTTATTTTCGGCTTCTATTTATTTGTTTGCATGTATTTTGCTGTAGGAGAGAATTCGTCTTGTTATTTTACTATTTGTTTATGTATAGTTTATTTAACGAAATTGATGAATTGTATTTTTTAATATTTCTGGACTGCATATGGAGTATAGCTAAAATTTAAACTTTTTCAGTAGTAGCACTCATAGAATATATGCTGAAGTTTTGCTAATGATATATAAAGGGGCAAGGGGATTTGCTTACACTGCAAGGCACTATGGGAAGAAGCCTCTGTATGCAAAGACGTTGCTGCTTCCGCAGTCGACTCTTGGGCCAAAAATACCAGTTGGAGAACAAAGACTCCGATTGATACAAGAATCAAGCCGAGAAATTTATGATTGGCAGTTGGAAAGAACAGAATATTCGAAAGAATTTGTTCTCCACGATGGCCCACCATATGCAAATGGTGACCTTCACCTTGGACATGCTATCAATAAGATTTTAAAAGACATTATCAATAGATTCGAGTTAATTCATAATAACGCCAAAGTGAAGTATAGACCTGGTTGGGATTGTCATGGCTTGCCCATAGAAATGAAAGCTATCCTGGGGGCTAGCGATGAGTCAAATCTTCTGGCAATTGAGATCAGAAGCCTGTGCCGCGAACTTGCTCTTTCTATGATAAAGAAACAACGAACACAATTTCTTGACTTTGCAATAATGACAAACTTTGATGATCCTTATATCACAATGTCCCGGAACTATGAGATTCAACAATTAAGGGTATTTCAAAAGCTTATAGAGAATGGCTTGTTATCGCGACAACTTAAACCGGTTTGGTGGGGATGTGAAACTAAAACAGCGTTGGCTGAAGCAGAATTAGAATATAACGATAAACACAACTCGATTGCAATTTATGTGAAATTCCCCGTATCTTCCGAAAATTTATTAGACAAAATTCATTTGAAGTATCCTTTTATCAAATTGAATCATGGGGATCTCAAGCTCTTGATTTGGACTTCTACTGCTTGGACAATCCCTGCTAATAAGGCAATCTGCATAAATAAAAATTTCAAATATACCCTTCTTCACGACGAGTCAAGCAATGAACATTTAGTCGTAGCTGAACTGTTAGCAGACAGAGTTTGTGAACTTAACAATAAATTCGTTCGATATGACAACCCTGTTTTAATTGACGGAAGTGATATATTAGGATCACATTACATCAACCCAGCTATAGGTCCATCTATCACTTTCCCTGTTCTTCATGGGGACCATGTTTTAGACAATGCCGGATCTGGTTTAGTTCACACGGCTCCTGCCCATGGCATGGAAGACTACTTGGTTGGTCAGAAATATGGTTTGAATATAGAGTCTTCTGTTGATGAAGACGGATGCTATATCGAAGATGTGATTCCTGGAATCTTCAAGGAATTGGCCAATCGAAAGGTGACGCATAAAGCTCTTTTGAAGGATTGTATTAACATCATGGATCTGAAGGATATGATTTACTCTTTAGACGATAAGTTTAAACACTCATATCCTTATGACTGGAGATCGAAAAAACCGGTAATACAGAGATCCACCCCTCAGTGGTTTATAAATATTGATAAGATTAAAAGTTTTGCAATTAATTCTTTGAGAGATGTTGATTTTTACCCACAATCGGCGAAGAATAGATTTTTACTGTTTTTGACTAACAGGAGTGAGTGGTGTATCTCAAGACAGAGAGTATGGGGTGTTCCTCTACCCATGATATATCACAAATGCTCGGGAGAGCCAATTACTGAAAAGCATGTCGTTAACTATGTGATAGACAAACTTGAACATTTAGGCACTGATGAATGGTTTAGGAGTGAAGCTAACATAGAACGTTGGCTACCTGGCTCCTTGAAAGGTGAAGCAAGCAACTACGTCAAAGGCAAAGACACAATGGATGTTTGGTTTGATTCAGGTACCTCTTGGACAACATTATCTGAAGATTGGCCAGAACTAGTAAGATCCGAAAGGCATTTAGCTGATGTTTATTTAGAAGGTAGTGACCAACACCGAGGTTGGTTTCAGTCTTCTTTGTTAAACAAGATAATTGCATCAGGAAAAAATGGAACTGATTTCAACTCAGTGGCACCATTTAAAAAGGTTATAACACATGGTTTTACTTTAGATAAAGATAATAACAAGATGTCCAAGTCAAAGGGAAATGTTATTGCACCTCTTCAAGTGATTGAAGGAGGTGGTAAACCATCACTTCCACGATTGGGTACTGACGGCATAAGGTTATGGGTGGCTTCCTCGAATTATAATTCCGATATTTCAGTGAGTAATGAGGTTTTATCAAGGATATTTGAAAATGTGAAAAAGTTCAGAATTACCTTAAAGTTTTTAATAGGCAACTTGTTCGACTTTAAGACACCTGTTGAGTATCAGAATTTGAGTCCGTTAGACAAATATGTTCTTTCTAGACTTTTGAAATTACAGAAAGAATGCGTGGACCATTATCAGAAGCATAATTTCTTGAAGGTTGTCAAAGCTATCAACACACATGTGAGCTCGGATTTGAGTGCTTCTTATTTTGACATTTCAAAAGACTGTCTTTACACAGATGCGCCGAATTCACATAGAAGAAGGGGAATACAGACTGTTTTGCAAATTATATTGCGAACTTACATAGGTTTGTTAGCTCCGGTTCAACCTTTATTAACTCAGGAAGCATGGAATGAAAGTTCTAAGATATTTTCTCGGCTGGAGACCTCACCCTTCATGGTTGGCAGATGGGAAGACTTTTATGAACTTCCCGAAGAATACGCAAATGCTACGGTCGAAGAAGAAATCCACAATATTTGGCAAATACGAGAAGCAGTCTTCAAGGTCTTAGAATATCTTAAGATGGAGGGAAAATTTAAGAATAAGTTAGAAACAGTTGTTAATTTAGATGTGTCTGCTAATTCTACTTTGCATAAAATATTGTGTGGACATAAAGACTTCTTATGTGATTATTTTTTGGTATCAAGAGTTACCCTTAACAAAAGCTTGCCCGACGATAGTAATTTCAAGCAGCTGACTAGTTTAGAAGTCGGTGAATGTAAATTGAGAATTGAAATTGGGCTGTCGGACCATGCTAAATGCCCAAGATGTTGGAAGTTTATTTCGGAGACTCCAGACCATCTTTGTTCAAAATGTCACTCAGTTGTAAAGCAACTTGAAAAATTGTAAATAGAATAGAAGTTAAGTCAATTTAGACTTATTTGTATATATTCTTAAATGTTAGGTACCCCATTAAAACTCCTCTCGTATCGTCTTCTGTTGTCCTATTTTTACAGTAGGGCCAACATGTCTCATCCATGTTCCGATGTGCACTATTCCCACGACCTCGTTTTTCGCAATGAGTTTTGGAAACACAGGAAATTTTGGTTTCCCACCGTAGACCTTGCACCGGTAGTTGGAACAAGTTGAGCAGCTAACTCGCCAGCAATGAGTGTTTTATTGAAGAAAAAAATTAGCAAC